TGGAAAATATATTTATCACAGTTATGTAGCATAAAGGGGAGATACATGTATATTTAGCCTATAGCTAATTTCTTAACTTCAAACATTAGTGAAAGAAATGACTATAGTTAATATTAAAGGAGTTCTGGTAGTGTAGTGGTTAAGGCATTTACCTGCTAACTAGAAGCTTGGTGATTTGAACCCACCAGCTGCTCCACGAAAGAGAGATGGGGCAGTCTGCTTCTGTAAAGATTTATAGCCTTGGAAAACCAATGGGGGTCGCTAAGAGTCAGAATTGACTTGATGTCAGTGAGGTGTTTTTGTTTGTTTTTTAATAATGAATATTATGGTCACCAAGTCGTTTGTTTCTTATAATTTGCATTTTCTAAATGACAATTTGTATCTCTTAAAGTTTGAAGTTTATGATGGTGATCAAGAAATGCAAGAGTGGTTATTCATATGAAGCAGGAAAAGATTTTCTTTACAAAGCTGTCATTTAGTATTTGTTGTTGTTAGTTGCCGTTGAGTCCAAACTCACTGCCCTCCAGTCGGATCCAACTCATAATGACCCTTCCTTAGGTTCCGAGGCGGTATCACTACGGAAGTAGATTGCCCAACCTTCCTTCCAAGGAGTGGCTGGTGGGTTTGAACCGCCAGCCTTCTGGTTAGCAGTCAAGTGCCTTAGGCATTATGCTACCAGAGCTCCCTTACACCATGATAGCATAAATTAATTGCAATAAGAAAGAGCATGCAAATATCAGAGATTTATCATCTGCTCCCACCTCACTGTAGTTGATTTTGTTCATTCTTGCCAACATAATCTCTGGCGTGTCAGGCATTATGTGGATCTGGGTCTTGTCTTTGTCCCAGGCTTCTGTGTATAAACGCTATCAAAGAAAACATATAAAGTAGTCAGGAAAAACAATGCAATTTGCAATATATAGGAATTTCAAGGTCACAAGAATTTTTTCAACAAAACAAGAAAAGGTTATGTATTTTATATACGTTAACATAGGCTTGCAACTTGAAGTAGTTCACAGTAATACACATATTTTTATATATACCTTCTGATAATCTGAAATACATGGTAACATTTTTTAAAATATAAGAGTAAGCATTATTTATGCAAAGATAATTTTTCCCTAAAAATATGCCACGTTATAAAAATCATGAAACAATAACTAAAGTGAATATTATAATGTAAATATGACAGATAGATAGTTTTTATGGCTCACTGCTCTATTTCTTTTCTCAATGATGCTTCCTTTTTTTTTTTTTTTTTTTTGATTCAGCTTTACAAGACTCCCTAAATTTTGAAGCCTCACCTTGTTCATGTTAATGGCATTGTTCTTGGCCAATACTTGTTCCAGAGAATCAGTCACACTGGTAAATTTCAATTTGTCGGGAGGCTGGCGGTAGCTTTTATCACTCAAAATTTCAGATGCTCTTTTGCATTTTTCCACATCCAAAGAGCCGATGGGCACCCAGCCAATACCTCTCAACCACTGGAGATCTGACTTGTACATATTCTGTTGACATAAACAGTCAATAAATATTTACACTGCATTAGAACAGTAATTTCATTTAAAGGATATGATGTAAAATATAAACACTCTTGAAAATATTGTGTGGTGGGCAGGGAGGATGATGGTGGTGTTGTCAGTTGCTCTCAATTTCAATTGATGGCGACCCCATGTGTTACAGATCAGAACTGCTCCATAGGGGTTTCTTGTCTGTAATGCTCCTGGTGGAAGCAAACCACCAGGGCTTTTCTTCTGCGGTACTGTGGGGTATGTTTGAACTGCCAAGCTTTAGAGGTCAAACTCAAACAGCTTGCATGTCATAGGGGCAGGGAGGGTATCAGACGATATTCTTTTCTGGTCCATGTTGTTGTTGTTGTTGTTGTTATTTGCCGTCGAGTCGGCCCCGACTCATAGCGACCCCTCCTTGGGTTTCCGAGGCAGTATCACTACGGAAGTAGGATTGCCCAACCTTCCTTCCGAAGAGTGGCTGGTGGGTAGAGTGGAATTAACACTATAAAGAAGGAAAGCATGCTTTCCTGCACACGCTTTTTGCAGGGGCTAGCAAGCTTGGTGCTGTTTATTGCTCATTTTCCCAAGGGACTTTAATACACTGATTTCTCAACTATGCATGTTATTTTAATGTCAGTACTCACATCACTCTGGAGGTCATAGGCCCGCCGTGCGTGGATGACATCGTTCTGGTCAGGCAGGCATGTCCACTGATGCAGCACATTCTTATAGTCTATGTCACTGACCAAGGCCTGGCACTTTTTGGCCAGCACCACCCCCAGCATGTCCACTGGGCTGCTGAATTTGGTCTTCCACTTCTCAAAGTCCTTCTTGTACTCCCTGTCACTCTGGATCTTGGCTATATGCATGGACCACATCATCTTGGGGTCATCATGTATAGCTCGAGCACCAATGTGATGACCAAGTTGCTTGCGATAGCCTTCTTTGTACTTGAACTAGAAGAAGAAAAAGTCTGATAATCACCTATTTCTACTCTTAGTAAAAAGTAACTATTAGCCTCAAATTTCTCTATTCATTAAAAATTATTTCTGTTAGTATATAAATAATACATGCATCTTGTAAACTATTTAGAAAATGAATAAATGAGTAAGTAAATTAAACTTAAATAAGCCCAAAAAAGAAAATGAAATTAAGACACGATTCTTCAGTCAGATTACTGATAATGTGTGTGTGAAACAGAGAGAGAATAAAATGAGACTAGGAGTCAAATTGTATACAGGATTGTGCTTATAATTCTCAGTATTAATATAAGCATTCCTTTTTGTCATTAATTATTTTTTATAAATGATTTTTAATGATAGCAGATATTCCATAATATGGGTATACCATAATATATTTTATCTTTTTCCAATGGTTGAACAGTTACTTTTAAATTATTTCCATATTTGGAAAAAATGTGGACAAAAGAAGTGGAAAGATACATATTTCTAGAAATAGGTGCAAATTCAACTTTTGAAGAAAATAAATACCAGCAACCAATTACTGGATACAGACATAAACATAGGGTCCTCGTGGATGGTTGGACTTTGAATAGCATAAAGTAAACCCATTCATTTAGTCCTTGGTTCATAGAGCTTGAATTAAGTTTTGAAGAAATTCTACAATGAGTTCAATCTTATACAAGATATGCATCATGTGGGAAAATAAAAAAGATGCCTGACAAACATTGATCTACAGGTGGATAGATGGATGGACAGGCTGAACTACTAGGTATGTCTATGCAGAGGAGTAGGGTACCCAAGACCATGTATAGGGTTAGCAGGCAATGTTTCTACAAGTGTATTTGTATGTTCCGTAAGAATTCCCAGGTATATAGTAGAGTTGGCAAGGGACAAGGTTTTAGTCACTTCTTGGCCACAGCCCAGAGGGAGCAAGTAGTTGGACCTGTGGGCTTGGGACCATAGTCACAGGGGATAAAAAGCTCAATAGGCCTAACATACTACACAAAACATTGTTCCACATCCCACTTTGTCAAGTAGTGACTGGGATCTTAAAAGCTTGCAAGCAGCCATCTAGATGCAACAATGGGTCTTTCCTCATCCAGAGCAAAGAAGAATGAAGAAAACCAAAGACACCTCGAAACTATTAGTCCAAGTGACTGGTATACCATGTGATCCTCAGTCTATACGACTATGAGGTATCCGGCTACCACTGTCAACCACAAGGAGGGGGGTCTATGTAGGAGGTCCTGGATAGAGTGGGAGAACAATGTGGAACAAAACTCAAAATCATTTAAAAAAAAGGGGGGTGGGAATCAGGTTTGCTGGCCTGATAGAGCCTGATGTAACCACTGAGACTATGGTCCCTAGTTGCCCTTCAGGTCTAGGATTGAATCCACTCCTGTGGCTTCCAGCCAAACAAAAGACAGGGATATGAGCTGAACATTTACATTAGGTAGATACACTCCTTGGACAGATCAATCATGGGAGAATAGAAGGGCTGTGTATGCACAGGGAGACAGCTTGCAGGGCAGGAGTGCATGAGAGGGAAGGACACAGGGAAGGGGTAACTATGGGGAGGAAGTGGGAGGAGAGTTGTTCCATTGTGGGAAATTGCAGTCAATGTCATGAGACAAAGTGTATGTGAGCTACTGTATGGAAAGTGAATTTGCTCTGTAAATTTTCACCCAGATCACAATAAATTTTTTTTAAAAAAAGTAAATTGTGTTAACAACTAAGAATGTTTACAGTATAACGAGAAAAAAAAAAAAAAAAGATTCCTGAACACTAAGTTTCTGTTATAGGTGATAGAAAAATTTCTAACAGATAATGGTGATGGTTGAATAACATGATAAATATAATTAATATCACTGAATTGTACATCTGAAACGTTGAAAGGACATGTTTTGTAGCATATATATTTACCAGAATTTATTTTTAAAAGAATGTCTGAACTACAGTCAAGTAGCTAATGCTTTTGTCTAGCAAGACATGTTTTGAAATGCATGTTGTTGTATACTCAACCACACCTCAAATTCAGTCTCTGCGTTAAAAATTTCATTACCATTATCTTAAACTTTTTATTGAAAAAGAAGCTGTTAGCAAGAGCTTTAACTTAATAGCTTACTTCTATATTATAAGTCTTGGAGAGGAAAAGAAATTTTAGTGCCAAATTTAAGTAGAACAACTCTTCAGGAATACTTACTTCACTTGCAATATCTCTGGATGCCTTGGCTGCCTTGATGGGAATGGCATCTAGTCGCATATCATAGCCTCTCTTCCTCGCTTCTTCTAGGCCAAGTTTATATTGTTTCTAAAAGAGACATAAATAATCCTAAATTTGGCTTATAAAGTGCCTTGTAAGAGAAATACATCATAGACCATGAATATATTGCTTACCTCACTGTAGTTTATTTTGTTTTGTTTAGCTAGTACAACTTCAGGGGTGTCTGGCATAATGTGAACAGTGGTTTTATCTTTGTCCCAAGCTTCTGTGTAGAGGCGCTAAAAGAAAAAGATGTCCCTAGTTCAGGCCAATAATAAATAGGCACATTGAAATAGTTTGATTCTTAATGATAATAGATTCTGTGCTGTGCATTGGTTATTTGTGACATCTTCAGGTCTAGATGTCTCATGTCATTAGGAAGTATAAAACTGATTTATAAATCACATTAATATCAAGCAAAAAATATGAACATGAATTTACTTTTATAGAAAGAGATGTCAATGTGTCTACAAACAAACAAAATAATAACAAAAAAAAACCTCCTCAACAAACAAAGGACTTACATGGTTCATGGTAGTAGCATTGTTTTTTGCCAAAACCATTGGTATGGAGTCCATAAGGCTGGAAAACTTGAATTTATCTGGGTGTTGACGGTAAACATGGTCACTCAAAATCTGGCTAGCTCTTTTGTTCCTCTCATCCTCAAGAGAACCACTAGGTAACCAACCAATGCCTTTTAGCCACTGAAGATCAGCCTTGTACAAATTCTGAAATTGCAAGTAACAAACTACTTATCATAAGCAAAATCATATGCCTTTGAAGAAATAAAATTTTCGTTACATATTTTAATGCTAGACTTTGTGAAAAGTTTGAAAGTCTTGTCACACTTGTGAACCAAGAAAATATTAAGATTAGAAGGAAATTTTTGAAAACCATTTAAGCAGAAACAGAAAAAATCTCCACACAATAAAAGAGGCTTCCTCCAAAGCAATGGGGGCATTGCTGGCTCTTTCTTTGGGGGAATAATGATATCTCCACATGTTTGGGTGACTGGACATTAGTCCAAAAATATAGATTTCCATTAGTCATTGAACATTAATCCAAGGATATAGATCTCCATTGTGCAAATTCAACTCCTCTCAGTTTGAGGGCACTTTGATACTTAGAAAAGCATATATAATGTTTGGTTGGCTAAAGGAAAACCTTAGACTCACGTCGCTCTGGAGGTCATAGGCTCGCCGAGCATGGATGACATCATTCTGGTCAGGCAGGCATGTCCACTGATGCAGCACGTTCTTGTAGTCTATGTCACTAACCAGTGTCTGGCACTTTTTGGCCAGTACCACATCCAGCATGTCCACTGGGCTGCTGAACTTGGTCTTCCACTTCTCAAAGTCTTTCTTGTACTCCCTGTCACTCTGGATCTTGGCCACATGCATGGACCACATCATCTTGGGGTCATCCTTAATGTCCCGGGCTCCAATATGGTGGCCAAGCTGCTTGCGAAAACCTTCTTTGTACTTGTACTAAAGAAAAAATATTGGTCTCATTTATGGTACATTACAAAGCACATTAATTCTAAGAGTTTCACTAAGAGCCTAGAGAGGCATGGATTTCAGTTTTTTAATAGGAAGGATTAAAGGCTAAATTCAGCTACAAATCCCATACATAATATATGCATCCTTGATCTTATTCTCACCCTACACTGCATCTCTGGGATCATTTCACTCTGTTTTAATTTGTTCCTCCTTAGAAGATTTTGTTCAATTTAAAATGAAATTGAGATTGCCTTGAAGTTATAAATGGCAATCAACTCAATATAAGTAGGAGACAAAATCTTACTTCACTGGCAATTTCCCGGGATGCTTTTGCTGCTTTGATTGGTATGGCATCAAGAGGAAGATCGTAACCTTTTTTCTTCAGCTCCTCATAACCCATTCGATAGAGTTTCTGTTAAGAGATAAAGAAGTTCACTTTGGGGAAAATGGTTCTCCATAAACAACTGTAGCATAAAGGATGCAGTGTGCTAAATATTTTAAAAATATAAGAGGGATGGTGTCTGCATTCTAGGATACTCAATTGTAATTAGAAATTATACCCAAACTCAAAAAACTCACTGCCATTGAGTCCACCCTGATTCGTAGTGACCCCTTTTGCCCATTGATAGCAAAATTTTAAACTTTGGAGCTCTTTGATTGCCTAGATTAAGGAAATTAAACATCAGCTATTGCTGAACTGGTGGCATAGTGGTTAAGGGCTCGGCTGCAAACTGAAAGGTAAGAGGTTAGAACCCACCAGCACCCTGCAGGAGAAAGATGTGGCATTCTACTTCTGTAAAGAAACCTTATGGGACAATTCTACTTTGTTTTATAGGGGTGCAATGAGTTGGAATCAACTTGACAGCATTGGGTTTGGTTTTGGGTTTTTATTTCCAAATTCTTTGGAGAATAAGGCAGGAGAAAATTGGTATTTAAATTAAATGAAATATAATGTAGGTGCTGTTTTCCAATTAACTCTGAGCATTTCATTAGAAAACAGAAACAATGCCTTTCCATTGTCCAGTAGGAAAAAAATTATGCCAACTGGGTTATTAGTTTCATTTTACAGTATAGAGCCAACCAAAGTAGGGTCCACATTGGTAATCTTTCATAATTTTAAAAATTTATGATTTTCTGAGGAAAGTTTTAATATCTAATTTAAAAAATTTAAGTGAAATAATTTGCTTCTTCAGAGCTGTTACAACACTAAATAGCCATGAATATAATTTAGAACATATATATTTTTTACATTTAGAAACCAGATTGCTTTAAATCCTACTGGTCCTAAACTTGTGTTTGTAAATTTAAACCTTTGTGACATTATTCTAACACATTTACTTAATGTTAAAGTCATTCTATTAGATTGTCTCTAAAATTCTATTAGATTGTCTCTAAAATATTTAATTTTTAGAACTACATTTTAGAAAAAATATGTATGTTTTAGAAGTTTATGCTATTATTATAATAAAAATGAAATTCTTCTGCATAGTTACTGTATGTTCATTCATTCAAAATATCATTATCTACTATGTGTCAAGGACCCTGGTAGTGCAGGAGTTAAAGTGCTCAGCTGCAACAAAACGTCTGCGGTTCAAACCCACCAGCTGCTCTCTAGGAGACAAATGTGGCAGTTGGCCTCTGTAAAGATCTAAAGGCTTGGAAACCCTATAGGGCAGTTCTGCTCTGTTCTCTAAGGTCCCTATGAGTCAGAGACAACCCAATAGCAATGGGCTTGATTTGGTTTTGGTATTATGTGTCAGGCACTATGTTAAGTAAGCACTGTAGAGTCAATGCAAATTTTCTCTGCCTCCAAGGAGCTCCCATACACATAGGGGAGAGTGATACAACCCTTCACATTACAATAATATGTGTGATAATAGATAGCAAGGAGCAGAGAGCACAAGATCTCCAACTCTGTCTGAGACAGGGAGTGCCAATATTTTCATGTTCAAGCTAAAAGACACTAAATGAGAAATCTGAGTCACCTGTGCTTTATTAAAATGATTCAAGAACTCAAAAGAACTTCAAAATAGCTTTCCTGACTAAGCAGCAATTTCAATGAGCTCTCTAAAAGCACACGCTGAATTTGAAAACTTACATCACTTGTATTGATTAAGTTTGCTTTAGCCAGAATAATGTCAGGTGTATCAGGCATGATGTGGATTTGAGTCTTGTCCTTGTCCCAAGCTTCTCTATAAAGTCTCTAAAATGAGAAATAAGAATTTTTAGTTATGGTATTAGATTAGTGGATGACATAGTTAACTTCAGACAAGATTAGTAAATATATCTGAACTAAAGTAAACTTCATAATCTATAACAGAAGCAGATAACAAAAGCAGAAAATGGGTACAATATTCCTTGATTTATCTGGGAAAAAAATTACCTTTCAAAAATATAGATTAGAGATCACCTTTTAAAAGTTACAGATAATCCTGCCAAAGAAATCAACCCAGATAATTAGAGCCTTTGTCAATATCATTAAATAGAACAGCACTTCTCCATCTTTTGGGTGATAGAAGTCCTCCCCAATATTTGATTCAGAGACCATCCTCATCTCAAAAGAAGACATATTCAAGGTGTGCCTAGAAATTACGAGGTCTCATTTCCTATATGATTTATTATTTAATTTTGTACTTCACAATTCTTTGGGGGGATTAGAATTCCCAAAAGGATTTTGTTTGGGAATTTATCAAAATCTCTTGGATGTCGCCGAGCCAGGGTTTCTCTGGGACAGAAGACAAAGGAGCTGAACCAAAAATCTCATTGATTTACTAAAGCGAAGGTGTGAACATTTGATGAGAAACAGGATGCGTGCATAATGTCAGAATATCCTCACAAGAAATTTATTAATTACAAGGGTAAAATAGTAACTTGACAGTGATGAAACCTGGAAGACATCACTTTTAAATGATCAAAGTTGATATTATGGAGTGCACTGTGTGCCCCAAGAATATATGTTGTCAATCCTAACCTCTATGCCAGTAGTTAGGAGCTCTGGTAGAATAGTGCCTAAGGTACTTGACTGCTAACCAGAAGGCTGGTGGTTCAAACCCACCAGCCACTCTTCGGAAGGAAGGTTGGGCAATCTACTTCCATAGTGATACTGCCTCGGCAACCCAAGGAGGGGTCGCTATGAGTCGGGTCTGACTTGACAGCACATAACAACAACATGCCAGTAGTTATAATGCCATTTGGGTCTGCGTTGTCTTTGTTATGTTAATGAGACAAGACTAGTGTAGGGGGTGTCTTAATCAATCTCTTTTATAGAAGAGATTAAATAAGCAAGTGAGTAAACTGAGATGGTGAAGAGAGAAACCAAGTCACATAAAGACAGACAAGGAGCAGAAGCTCAAAAGAGACAAGGACCTTTCTCCAGAGAAGACAAAGAGATGGCAACCTGAATTTGGACTTTGAGCCTCCTAAACTGTGAGAAAATAAATTTCTGTCTGTTAAAGCCACCAACTTATGGTATTTCTGTCATAGCAGCACTAGATAACTAAAACAGTAGAAATTACCAGTAATGGGGCAAATTGATATCATGCACCTCCTGATATAATGTACAAGGACACAACATGTGATATTCCTGCCCAAATACATACCTTGAATCTAATCATGAAGATGCTCCAGACAAACCCAGATTGAGGGATATTCTACAAAATAATTGTCCTGTTCTCTTATAAAATAGCAAGGACTTGAAAGACAAAGAAACATAAAGGAACAAGTCCAGATTAAAAGAGATAAAAAAAGACATGACAATTAAGGCAATGTGTGATCTTGGATTGGATGCTGGACCAAGAAAAACATTTTTTTCCTTTTGCTATAAGGATACTAGTGGTAAAATTGAATAAATTCTGTACAGTAAATAACAGTATTATGTCAATATTAATTTCTTGATTTTGATAATTGCACTATGGTTATATAAAAGAATATTCTTGTTTTTAGGATACACACCTTGAGGTATTTAGGCATAGAGTAGCATTATAAATCAATAAACAATATGTATAGATATATATATAGATATATATATACATACATACATACAATTCATATTTACATACATGAGAGAGCAATTTATATATACATATGAGAGAGAGAGTTAAGAGAGAATGAGAGAAAGAAATTGAGATAGAGAAAGCAAATGTGGTAAAATATTAACCTTAAGGGAATCTAGATGAAGGTATGTATACATGTGTGTGCATATATATGTGTATGTATGTGTGTATAGTCATATATATATATATGTATATATTTATCTATATACACACACACACATATGAATTTTTATATTATTTTTGAAACTTTTCTGTATGTCTAAATTTGTTTCAAAATGTTGTTATGTGCCGTCGAGTCAAACCCGACTCATAGCAACCCCTCCTTGGGTTTCCAAGGCAGTATCACTACGGAAGTAGGATTGCCCAACCTTCCTTCCAAGGAGTGGCTGGTGGGTTTGAACCGCCAGCCGTCTGGTTAGCAGGCAAGTGTCTTAGCCACTATGCTACCAAAGCTCCCTGTTTCAAAATAATAATCTTAAAAGTCTCATTGGTTCCTTGGACTTGTCAATATCCTTTTGAGAAATGTGGTATACGGCGTTGGTATTTGTCCCGTTTCTGAGCATGTTCACTGCAGTTGATATAAACCAGAAAAGCTGATTAAAATATTCAGGACCAAAACAAAGAGAGGCTTATTAATTCCCACATACATTTATCCCAGTTTTGCACTGCTTTTCTGATTAAGCATGACCAACATTTCTCACCCTCAGCACCACTAGCATTGTGAACAGGATGAGTCTCTGTTGGAGGTGGGGGCTGTCCGAGATGGTGGGATGTTTAGCAGCCTCCATAGTTGCTGCTCACTAGATGCCACTGACACCCTACCTCTTAAGTTGTTACAACTAAAAATGTCTCCAGATATTGCCAAGTGTCCCGTGAACCACACAGCTAGTGCTATCACATCTCCACCACATTGCTCTCCTTCTTACATCTAATTTCTGATTTCATACTTCCCCAAAAGTCATTTCTTCAATGGCATATGACACTTTTATCCCAGGGCACACAAAGAAAATGATGTGATTTGTTTGATACTGGGATAGATGTTTAAAAGCAGAGACAACAACCTTAAGGACCTCCAGTTGGCACAGGTCCTGAGGCTTGAGGGGATCAGTATGTCCTATAACCAGGGCACACGGTTGGCAGGTTTGTTTCACAACATTTATGTTGACAAATTTTTATGATCCATAGTTTCTCTTTTGGTCACCTGATTAGTTCAGAGGCTTTTGGATAGCCCTGTTTTGTGGAGAGAAAGGAAACCTGGATTCCAACAAAGGAGGAAGAAATATTTTGCATAAATTGGTTGTTTTATCAGTAAGCTGGTAGTGTTCAAATTGCCATTATTAAAAAAAAAACAGAAAAGAAAAGAAACAAAAATATAAACATCAATAATGAAGCTGATGGGTCAGCATTTACTGCATATTGTGGATATTAAAATTGCAAAAATCCGTGGGGAGTTAATTGACAAGAGAAGAGCTACAATTTGTCTAATGCTCACTATGAGTTGATTATGGAATTATACATATTACATAGAGTTTATATAGTATTTCCTAATATATATAATATATGTAAAAGAAAATTAAAAAAAAAAAAAAAAAAAAATACTGCCATCAAGTCAATTCTGACTCATAGCAACCCCCATTGGGTTTCCGAGGTAGTAAATCTTTACAGAAGTAGATTTTCTTTATATATAGAGAGAGCTCCTTTATATATATAAAGGAGAGGAGCTCTGGTGGCATAGTGGATAAGGCACTTGGCTGCTAACTGCAAGGTCAGCCGTTCAATCCCACCAGCTGCTCCGTGGAAGGAAGATAGGGAAATCTACTTCCATAAAGATTTACAGCCTCAGAAACCCAATGGAGGTCACTGTGAGTCAGAATTGACTCAATAGCAGTGAGTTTGATTTTTGGTGTACTGGTAGCATAGTGCCTAAAGCACTTGACTGCTAACCAGAAGGCTGGCGGTTCAAACCCACAAGCCACTCCTCAGAAAGAAGGTTGGGCAATCCTACTTCTGTAGTGATGCTGCCTCGGAAACCCAAGGAGGAGTCGCTATGAGTCAGGGCCAACTCGATAGCACATAACAACAACAAATGAAACCTTTTTACTTATACCTACTTAAAACTTCTTACCCAATCTCAGTGCATATAATTTTACTTTCTGTAATTTTCAGAATTATATTTCTAGCCAAATAATAATTTTTCCCTTGTTCACATAAAATTACTCCATATTGCTATCTTTCATTTATTTTATTCAACAAATATTTATTGGGCACTTATTATATGACAGACACTGATTTCAATGCTGGAGAAGAAAATAAATATATTTTTAAATGGAATATATTTGCTGTGATTTATCAAATCACCTTGACTTAGCTAAGTTAAATGCATTATAAACATTTAGCAGAAACTACACTATTATATTTTGACTTTGTGTAAGCCTCTCGGAATCCCTTCGCATCACACACTGTATCCCAGCAAAAAAAAAAATGGGATATTTAATACAGTCAAATTTCAAAGGAAACAGGTATGCTCGACTATTCTTCAAATTTATATACTAACCACTAATGTCAAAGAAGAATTAATCAAGATTTTTTACCAACTTCTGCAGTCTAAAGTTGATCAAACATGCAATCAAGATGAATTGATAATTACTGGTAACTGTTAAGCAAAAGTTTGAAACAAAGAAGAAGGATCTCTAGTTGGAAAATATGGCCTTGGTGATAGAAACAATACCATGACTGAATTTTGTAAGATGAACAGCCTATTCATTGGAAATACATTTTTTCAACAATCTAAATAGCAACTATACACGTGACCTCACCAGGTGGAATAAACAGAAACCAAATTGACTACACGTATGGAAAAAGGTTATGGAGAAGCTCATTATCAGTAAGAACAAGATCAGTTGCCAACTGCAGAACTTGCTCATATGCAAGTTCAAGTTAAAGCTTCATTAAATTAAAACAAGTTCATCTTAGCCAAAGTACAACTTTGAGCATATCCTAACTGAATTTAGAGACCATCTCAAGAACAGATTTGACACATTGAACACTAATGACCAAAGATAAGACAAATTGTGGGATGACAGCAAGGACATCATACGTGAAGAAATAAAGGCCATTAAAGGGACAGGAAAGAAAGAAAAGGCCAAAATGGGTGTCGGAAGAGACTCTGGAAGGAAGATGGGGCAACCTACTTCCGTAGTGATACTGCCTCGGAAACCCAAGGAGGGGTCGCTATGAGTCGGGTCCAACTCGACAGCGCATAACAACAACAAGCTAAAGAGAATGGAAGAAATGATTAAATGAAGAGCTGAATAGGTTTCAAAGGGCAGCTCGAGAAAACAAAGTAAAGCATTATAATGAAATGTGCCAAGACCTAGACATGGAAAACCAAAGGGGAAGAACATGCTCAGCATTTCTCAAGCTGAAAGAACTGAAGAAAAACTTCAACCCATGAGTTGCAATATTGAAGGATTCTATGGACAAAATATTAAACAACACAAGAAGCATCAAAAGAAGATGGAAGAAATGTAGAGTCATTGCACCAAAAAAAAAATGAATTGATGTTCAATTTCATGAGGTAGCATATGATAAAGAACCTATGGTACTGAAGGAAGAAGTCCAAGTTACAGTGAAGACACTGGTGAAAAATAAGTATCCAGGAATTGAAGGAATACCAATTGAGACGTTTCAAAAAAATGGGTGCATCGCTAGAAGCACTCACTCATCTATGCCAAGAAATCTGGAACACAGCTACCTTGCCAGCTACCTTGAAGACATCTATATTTGTGCCCATTCCCAAGAAAGATGATCTACCAGAATATGGAAATTATAGAAAATATCATTAATGTCACACACTAGTAAAATTTTGCTGAAGGTAATTCAAAAATGGTTGCAGCAATATGTCAACAGAAAATTACCAGAAATTCAACTCGGATTTGGAAGAGGAGGTGGAATAAGGGATATTGTTGCTGATCTCAGATGGATCTTGGTTCAACAGAGAATACCAGAAAGATGTTTAGCTATGTTTCATTGACTATGCAAAGGGATTTGACTGTGAATGCAAAGAATGGGAATTCCAGAATGCTTAATTGTGCTCGTGCAGACCAAGAGACAGTCACTCAAACAGAACAAAGGGATGAAAGTATGGTTTTAATTCAGGAAAGATGTGTGTCAGGGTTGTATCCTTTCATTATACTTAGTCTATCTGTACGTTGAGTAAATAATCTGAGAAGCTGGACTTTATGAAGAAGAATGCAGCATCAGGAATGGAGGAAGACTTATTGACAACTAGTGATATTCAGATGACAGAACCTTGCTTGTTCAAAGTGAAGAGGACTTGAAGCACTTACTGATGATCAAAGACCACAGCCTTCAAATATGGCGTATACACAACATAAAAAAGACAAAAATCCTCACTAATGCATCAATAAGCAACATCACAATAAACAGAGAAAATACTGAAATTGTCAAGGATTTCAATTTACTTGAATCCACAATCAATGCCCATGAAAGCAGTCATTAAGAAACCAAATGACATATCGCTTTGGGCAAATCTACTGCAAAAAACCTAGTGTTAAAAACCAAAGATGTCACTTTGAGGACTAAAATGAGTCTAATCTAAGCCATGCTATTTCCAATCACTACATACACATGTGAAAGCTGGACAATGAATAAGAAAGAGAAAACAACTGATGCATTTGAACCATGGTATTGGTGAAAAATATTGACTATGTCATGGATTATCAGAAGAATGAACAAATCTGTCTTGGAAGAAGTACAGCTGAATGCTCCTTAGAAGCAAGAATAGCAAAACTTTGTCTCACATACTTTGTATATGTTATTAGTAGGGACCAGTCCCTGGAGAAGGACATCATGACTGGTAAAGCAGAGAGTGAAAAAGAGGAAGACCCTCAATGAGATGGATTCACACAGTGGCTACAACAATGGGCTCAAATATAGCAACAATTGTGAAAATAGCATAGGATCAGACAGTATTTTTTTCTGTTGTACACAGAGTTGTTATGAATTGGAACCAACTCTCCAGCACATAAGAAAAACAACAACCTATCATGTAGCAGGCACTGTAATCTATTTCATTTATTTCCAAAGAGTTACTCACATCGCTCCTATTTTTGGCATTTGTCTTTGCCAAAACTATGTCCATGGCATCAGGAATGCTGGTGAACTTGTTTCGGTCTGGTGGCTGACGATATTTCTTTTCACTGATGATTTCTGAAGCCCGCTTATTTTTTTCAGCCTCCAAAGAACCTAGAGGACTCCATCCGATGCCTTTCAGCCACTCCAGGTCAGACTTATACATATTCTGTTAAAGGAAAAAGTAAGTCATTAAAATCTTATCCTCACTTGGACCCTTTACTCAAGTGACTCTCTATATTACAATCAGACACGTTTTAGATTTTCAATAATCATTCCTCTTACTAGTTTCTGTTTTTCCTACTACCAAATGACTACTTATATGAGATATGAAATAATGTACACACTATTTGATTTAGACCAAGAACTCTGGTGGTGCAGTGGGTAGGACATTTGGCTGCTAACCAGAGGTCAGCAGTTCAAAGCTACCATCTTGCTCTGTGGGAGGAAGATGAGGCAATCTACTTCTGTAAAGATTTACAGCCTTGGAAACCCAGTGGGGGATGCTATGAGTCAGAATTGACTCAATGGCAGTGGGTTTATTTGATTTAATAGAAACTGACCTCACTCTGTAGTTCATAAGCTTTTTTAGCATGAATAACATCATTCTGGTCCGGTAGACACGTCCATTGATGCAGGGTGTTTCTGTAATCCACATCACTAACCAAGGCCTGACATTTCTTGGCTAACACTACTCCCAACATATCCACTGGGCTGGTGTACTTGGTCTTCCACTTCTCAAAGTCCTTCTTGTATTCTCTTTCACTCTGCATTTTGGCTACATTCATGGACAACACAAGCTTTGGGTCATCTTGCAAACTTCGGAATCCAACATGGTGGCCAAGTTGCTTGCGGTAGCCTTGTTTGTATTTATGCTGAAATCAAAGGAAGACAGTTCTTTTACTAACATAAAGAAAGGTTAAGTTAAGTTCAATTTGCTTTGTTTGTATATGTTTGTTTTCCAAAAATGAAATGAAAGAAGGGATGTCTGTGCTAACTTAGTAAGAAATACAAAGTTTTGTTTAAGTGATGGCTTGTAAAGAAACCTAACAGAGTTGGGTATTAAAAGGAGTTGTGATAATAAATTAATTCCAACTAAAGGCAGAAGAATATGCTGGGGTATTTATGCTGGACATTGTGTATCCTGACTTTAGGTAGCTTTTGAGAAACTCATTTAATACCCTTATAAGAAAGATGAATAAGTATGGATCGAATGGAAGAAAAATTAGGAAGATTTAAGACTTGCCAAATAAGTTTAATAATGTAGATTAATTTATTAAGTAGCAGGGTTTTTAGTGGTTTGCTATATAGTTATGCCATATAGCCTTGTACTAGTCAGGATTCATATCTTGCATGTACAGGGTAGCTGAAAAGAGTTAACATGTTAGATCAGAAAGAGGATTTCACAAGATGTCAACATAGTGCTATAAAGGGTCAAATTAAACTAAATGAAAGTAAGAGAATAAAAGTAAAATATTGCATTTGGATTCAACTGGGATAAAGTCGCATTAGTATAGATAACAATAACAATGGTGATAATAATAAAGATAGTATTAACATTTACTTTATGCTAGGCTCTGAACACATATTACACTTTCTTATGACACCTGGCTTATAAAACTAAGAACAAAAGAGAGTAAGTAAGCAATTTAAAATATTTCAAGTGATATCAAGTAGAAGAGGAAATAAGCCACTTTGTGGTATTCTAGAACTCAGACCTAAAGCTGATCAGTAAAACATTTAAGATTGAAAAAATATTATGAGATTGAGAGATGATTCAACAAAGAAATGACCTGCCCTGAGTTACTGAAATTCTGATCTACATTTGAAAGTCTCCACAGACTAGGTGGAGATAAAGAGAAGGTAGCACATTAGGTGGGAGACTAGGTTAAATACTATAAATTCTGTGATTCTAACTTATTAAACTAAGAGCATGTAAAAATAGATGTAATTTTCTGAAGTTTCATAGATACAAAAACCGTTTGACACAGAGAGGAGATAAAGTGTATTGTCTATACAGTAGTGTAAAAGTTCTCATAGTTCATTTCATTGTAGAATAAGATTTTAAAAGGTTCCAACTAATGGGTTCATGTGAAAAGAAATTAGGCACTATCAATTGTTGGATCATTAGAAAATTATTGATGCTATTTCTTCAATTTCAAATCTACCTTTAACTTATAGGAAGCATATAAGCTTAAATGAAAATGAGTTTACTTTCTGGGAAACATTCAAGCACCATTACTGCTTCAGCTCATCATCACATTGATTCATTTTAATGAGGGATTGACCTATAAACCAGAGAGTGGGTAAGAACACATTATCTAATTAATTTTCCAACACTTCTGGAATATCACAAATTAATTGGATTAAAGGAACTCTTTCCTTATATTCTTAGAATTTATTATCACATTCTGTCTTTAGATACTCTGTACTTCAATCTGCATATTGAACCAAACCCTGGTTGTCTTGTTTTAAAGATTTTTGATTGAGTTGCACTACCCTATGCAATTCTGACAATTCATATATCAAAATCCTCTTTTTCATGGTTAACTTTTGGGATTCTCAAAATGATATGTGTATCTATATGCACAATATTAAAGTTAATATTTATAAACATTTTATATAAAAAAGGGGTTATATCTAGTTTGTTCACCAAAATCATAACTCTTTAAAAACAAAACTAGAAGCTGTCTTTTGAGAATATCTTTGTTTTATGAACTTTGCACCAGATAGCCAGCAGAAAATAGAATTAAGCTCTCTGGACTTTAAACCTCAATTCCTGAATGTTCCTTTATTTTCTATGCAAGGATAAGCCAAATAAGAAGAATTAACACCTAATTTTTAAATATGTGCATATAGAATCCATCAACATCAAGTTGATGAACTTATCTGGTACTTTGAATTTGTCCAATATTTTGTTGTTGTTGTTAGCTGCCAAGACAAATTATAAAACAGGAAATATTTTTAGGCCAAGTACGGAAAACCCAAAATCTCTGGTTCCTTTGTAATGTCTAGAAACATAGTATCTTAGTGTTATGGATCTTAGAGGTCCAACTTCTATTCAGGAATTCTACTTAGATATATGATTAGAGAGAAAAAAGAGTGAATTCTGGGTGGACAAAGAGGGTAAGAAAGGAAAAAGGAAGCAACATTATATTTCAAAAAGTAAAGCTGATCTTTAAAAATAATCACCAACCTTAAGTTACCTGACTCTAATAAAATTCATCTATATAGAAATCAAAAGGAGCCCTGGTGGCACAGTAATTAAGTGCTCAGCTGCTAACTGAAATGCCAGCAGTTGGAACCCACCAGCTGCTCTGTAAGGAAAGGTGCAGTAGTGTGCTTCTATAAAACCTTGGAAACCTTTTAGGAGCAGATCTATTCTGTCCTACAGAATGCTATGAATCAGAATCAACTCAATAGCAAGTGGTATAATAGTCAAACCAGTGCTTACATCGCTAGCGATATCTCTTGAAGCTTTGGCCAGCTGTACAGAAATTGCATCAACTGGGAGGTCATAGCCTTTCTTCAAAGCTTCTTCCCATCCAAGTTTATAGAGTTTCTGAAAATAAACGAAATTATTATTATTATTCTTTCTATGTTAAACACATTATTAAACAAACATCTACCTAGAAAGGAGACATTCCATTCTGACATCTTTCACTGTATCTTTAAAGATACATATAAAAACAAAACAAGCTCTTTAGTTGAGTAGAAAAAGCATTGACTTAGCGTCACATGACTTGGCTTCAATTTTTTTTTTTTTTTGCTCTTAGATTGCCAGGCTGTATATTTGAATATGGTCTTTACTGTTCAGAAACAATATGGTTATATCATGTAATTTTTCCTGCTGTTAAGTACAGTCTGAGCTCATTATTTTAATTATTTATCTATTTGTAGCTTGGGTAAAAGTTTACAGAGTAAATTAGTTTTCCATTCAATCATTTATACTCATTTTTTTCATGACATTAGTTGCAGTCCCCTCAATGAAACAGCACTGTTTCTACTTCCTCCCTAGTTCCCAGTTTCCATTTGTCCTTCTTTCCTGCCCCTTCCTATTTTCTGATCTTTGTTTTTGGGCAAATGCTGCCCTTTGGTCTTGTATGGTTGAATGTACTGAAAAGCACATTCCTCCCTGGTGTTATTATTCACTTTATAGTCCTATCTATTGTTTGGCTGAAAGTTGATCCCTGAGGGTGGGTTCAGTTCCAGGCTGGAAGGTTGCCTAAGGGCCATGATCTCAGGGGTTCCCGTAGTCTCTGACAAATTTGTAAGTCTGGCCATTTTTATACTTCTGAATTTTATTCTACTTTCTTTTTTTTTTTTTTCCTTTATTTCTCTGTCTCTATCCAGGACTTTCTATTGTGATCCTGATCAGAGTTGTAGGTAATGGTAGCCAGGTACCATCTAATTCTTTTGGTGTCTGGGTAGTGGAGGCTATAGTTCCTGTGGTCGATCAGTCCTTTGGACTAATTGTTTCCTTGAGTCTTTGATTTTCTTCCCTTCTCTCTGCTCCAAATGAGGAGCAATCAATAGCTACATCTTAGATGGTCACTTGCAAGCTTTTAAGACCCCAGTCGCTACTCACTGAAGTAGGATGTAGAACATTGTCTCTTTTGTTATGTTATGCCAATTGACCTAGATGTCCCCTGAGACAATGGTTCTAAGCCCCTGAGCCCAGTGAACTATTCCCTCAAAGTGTTTGGCTATGGCTAAAAAATTTTCAGAACTTTGCCCCCGGTATGCTCTCTGATATCCTTGGATATATTGACAGCACATACAAATAGATAAGTAGAAATAGCCTCTACCAAACCTATATATATATATATACTCATAGGTGTACTTCCATTCATCTTCCCACATCTGTTCAGCTCACATATCTACCTATGTATCTACTTATAGATGTTGTTTGTTACTCTTATTGTAGGATTGAGTGTTTACTATTTTGAACATAGATATTAAGATGACTGATTAAAAAAATTAGGTCACAAAATTTTAATTATAAAAGTGATAAAAGTAATGGATGATAAAATGCCTTTTATGAGTTTCAACGAATGAGTTATCTGACTGTGTCAAATCCATTGAATATCTGTACAGTTTGAAAACTGTCTAATCTTTATCAGTACTAACTATGTGCCAGGCATTGTGCTGAGAGCCTTACTTGGAATTTCTTATTTGGTCTTTACCACAAATGCAAGGCCACAGGAATTTTATGGTCCCAGTTTTATAGATGAGGAAACTGAAGTTTAGACAGGTAGGTGATTTGCCCAGTATCATATAACTCAAATAACAAAGCTGATACTCATACTAGATCTAACAGATGCATTTTTCCTTTCAGCAGTTATTTACTGATCACCTAGTTAGATCAAGTACAGTGAATAGTGTGATAAAGAGACAAGCACAGGGCTTGCCTCCATAAAGTATGTATACAGTCACAGGTTATGCCCTTACTCTCACCTGCTATATTTTGTAATATCCCTAGGATAACCAGTTTGAGTCATTCTTTGTTTCAGCATTTACATCTGTTATTTACTATTACATCATTTAATAAATTAAATAAGTTTCAAGTCAAAACTTGAAGCAATTTTTATGTAGCTTACCTGACTGTATAGTGTTTGATTCTGCTTGGCCTGCAAAATATCTGGTGTATCTGGCATAACATGAATTTTGGTCTTATCTTTATTCCAATCAATGGTGTATAAATGCTAGGAAGTAAGGTGGGAAAAAGACATTTGAAATTGAATAACTGTTCAGGACCAACAGGGAAGAAAAGTATATACATGTATATTTATAGCTAGATATCCATAGTACTGCCTCGGAAACCCAAGGAGTGGTCACTGAGTTGGATCCAACTCAATAGCAGTGCGTTGCGTTGTGTTGCATATACTTATAGAGAGCAGTTAAATGCAATCAATATGACATATAAGAAATTAAATTAGTAACCAAAATTAAACTAGTAACCATAACCAAGCATATGATTCAGAAATGATACCAAAAAGAAACTCAGATTTTAAAAAAATTGTCTTTTAAACCTATTCCATCTTTTAGAATGGATTGAAAATACTAAGGTAGTATAATAAAAATACAAATATTTTTTAACTCAATTAGAAGGGAAGGATAAGAAAAATATTAGAAGCGGGAAAGATAAGAAAATAGTATGTGTGGGGGGTGCTTTGGAACTGTTCTCCACTGCCAGAAATGGTAGACCCAGATTAAAATTCCCAAACAATGACAAGAGTTTGCTATCCCCTCTTCACTTGGGAGCTGTGTGAAAGGACAACTGTTCTGTCTACCTTGTTCATGGTGTGTGCATTCTGCTTGGCAAGCACCATGTCCATGGAGTCGATTAGCTTCTTAAATTGGAAGTTGCTGGGGTGCTGGCGGTATTTCTGGTCACTTGCATATTCAGTTGCCTTTTTGGCCTTCTCCACTTCTAGAGAACCAGCCGGACTCCAGCCAAGCCCTTTGTACCATTCATTATAGTCTTGCTTATATTCGTTCTACAGAGAAAAGAGGTAAATTCTATGTCACCTTATCAATTTAGACATAAAAATATTTCCCAGCTGGAGTAAAAGACTATGAACTCCCTTCCCATGTTAGGAATCCAAAAAGAAGAAAGACTTACATCACTCTGTAAGCGGTTCATATTCCTGGTCAGCTCAATGTTCATTGCATCTGGAAGGAGGATGTACTTGTGAATCAAGTGTTTGTAGTTAGTGTTGCTGATGTTGGCTTGGGCATCCTTGGCAGCCGTGACACTGAGCATGTCAGCAGGAGTCTGGTAATTGGTCTTTGTCTTCTCATAGTTTTTCTTGTACTCCCGATCAGATTGCATCTTAGCCACTTGCATGGAATGGACTAATTTTGGATCATCCTCAAGACTGCGGAAACCAACCATTTTCCCCCTCTGTTTTTCATAATTGTACTTGTATTTATGCTGGGAAGAAAATTTGAATATATATTCAGAGCATTTTCCTTAAGTAGAAGTCAGGCTGGTGTCAATATTTTGCATTTCATAACAAGTGATATTTGTATAGAGTTTTATAGTTCACAAAACATGTTTTTCACATTTATCTGTGTAACTTGACACTCACAACTACTTTGCAAGATGGACAGCAAAGTTATTACTATCTTTCCCATTTTTATAAATGAATAAGCTGAGATCCAGAGAGGTGACTGGCTTGCTAAAATCACTATGGATTAGACTCCAGATCTGATTATACCACACTGCTTACACACATACTCCAGTAGTGTTGAGGAGACCATCGGTATGTAATAAGAATATAACACATGACAGAAAAAAGCAGAATGTTCTAATTAGTTTAATGCTGCCCTGAGAAATCATGCAACCAGTCATTTGCTAGTGAGAATAGCCTCAATTAGGAGGTATAGTGCAATTTTAGAGGATGTTATTTGTGGGGCTCTTTTTCTTTCCTTTTTTTTTTTTTTTTCTTTTAAGACTGTCTGTACTGGCATAATGGATAAGAAACTTTCCTCTATAGAGGGATGATCTGATACATGAAGAATCTTTTATTATCTTCTTGTGGGTTTGATTGTGAGAGTTAAAAGGTAGAAGCTAGGAAAAAAAAATAACAAAAAACCTCACTGCTATCAAGTCAATTCCGACTCATAGCAACCCCCATTGGGTTTCCAAGGTGGTAAATCTTTACGGAAGTAGATTGCCCAGTCTTCCTTCCATTGAGTGGCTGGTGGGTTTGAACCACCAACCTTCTGGTTAGCAGTCAAAGGCCTTAGGTACTATGCTACCAAAGCTCCTTAGAAGCTAGGAGAGCCATATTATTACAGTATAATAGAGGGAGAAGAATTTGGAGTTGTCAGGACAATGTAGGAGTGGGATAGGACAAGATAGGTGGAGAAGAAGAAAAACAGATGAAAGGGGTAAGAGAAGTAGAAGGGAATAGCCAAGGGGAGTGTGTTCTAAAATGTGTTCTTCCCATGATCTCTAAGTTACTGTAGGTGGATTTCTTGTGCAAAAAAGCCAATGAAAGAATTGAGTTTCATATGGGTGATACTTTATGGCGGTGGTGTGCTGGTACATTAGCTGCCCCCACCCCCCAATCTGCAATGCTTGTCAATTTCTGAGTGCATCTACTCCTAGTAGCTGACGTCAAGCTACTAATGGTTTAACAATTGATTTGCAAAACTTCCAATTATTTAACAATCAGATCTCAATAGCTCAAGTGAGTAGGCTCCAGCCAGTCACTACAGGAGGCATCTTGTTAAAAAGATAGATTCTATGAGGCAGGAGGCAAGAACAAGAGCCCTTCACGAAGAAGACTTTGCAAAGGGCTTTGGAATTTTACAGGTCATAACCTTGGTGATAGAGTTCAAAGTATTTTTTTCCTAGACCTGATGAGTCAGAGAGCTGACATGTATGAGGGTCATAATGTGGTTAGTTTTCTGTTTTGTCAGAAATGCAAATTAGAAACAAAGCTGAGAGAATGCATGGGTAGTCTGAGGCTCTTAATAGAAAGCATGCTTTCTTCATATTCTATCCAACCATTGTTTCCAGAATCCAACCCTTATTATTTTGGTTAAATAGAAACCCCCAGCCAGATGACTGCTTTCCTGCAAACTTACATCACTTGCAATATCTCTTGAAGCCTTTGCAGCTCTGATAGGGATTGCATCAGCTCTGAGATCGTAGCCTTTCTTTCTAGACTCTTCCAAAGAAAGTTTGTAGAGTTTCTGTAAAGAGAGGAAAAGAGAATAATTTCTTCTAAACAGGAAAGCCTGAAATGATTTTACAACAGTAAACTCTCACTGTGGCATCCTTTTTGTATTTGAGCAGAACGCTTCATTGGTGGCTCAATGGAAAAATGTTCTTATTAGTAACATAACAGTGTTTGAAAAAAAAATCTATTATAAATTCAAACATATTTCAAGAAACCACGAGGAAAAAAAAACGAATATATGGGTCTCTATTATGTTGTAAATGTATTTTTTAAATGTGAGAATCCAGTAGGTCTGTGGGACTCATTTTCTCTTGAGACTCTCTAAACTGACACAATGGGTACAAAAAAAAAAAAATTCTATTTATCACCTAAACTTCTTCTGTAGAAGGGAGAGACTGATACATGGAATATTTTTAATTTATGAAAAGAGTTAAGGGAAGACTAAGAAATAGCCATTGTTTTAGATCCATGGAAAACTGCACTGTTTCACAAATGACACATTTGTTTATTCAATTACGTGTGTTTTACAGCTCAGAAAAAGTCAGCAGTCTCAAATCCCTGTAAAATTCAAACAAAGAAAAGAAAAATAGGTAAGATTAGAGGATTTCTTAGCAACTGTAGCTACGATGAGAAAGAAAAAAAAAACACCAATGTATTTTCTAATCAGTGCAACACATTCCTTGTCGTGGGGCTTGCCAAAAATTCTTTAAGACCTTCATCTTTCCTTTCCATTAAAATTTCCCCACTACTCCTCTCTAGGATCATAACTTTGTGGACAGGTCTCTAAGGAGAAGGTCTCACTTCCTTTTTCTCTTCTCTTGGCCCCCAGGCCTTTCTCTTCTTGCCAAGTCTCTTGATTTGATATAGAATACTTGCCCCTAAAACAAAATCCAACCACCTTTCAAGTTCCTGACGACTAGGCCTAACCCTCATTGGCAAATTTTCACTTGTGGGTTTCCATTATTACTTTTAAAACATTCACTCTCATAATTAAGAGGGAGGTAACACACACACACACATATATTTTTACTGGTTCAAAGGGGATGGAAATAAAAATGATAACGGGGGAATTATACTTACATCACTCATATTAATAGCATTTGCCTTTGCCAAAACAATCTGGGGGATATCAGGCATGATGTGAATTTTGGTCTTGTCAGCCTCCCATGCTTGCTTGTATAGGTGCTAGAAAGTAAAAAATAAATAAATAAAAACGTGGAAGTTAGTATTTAAAATCTTGAAAGTTTACTTAAACAAAAGAGAAAACAAACCCACTGCCACTGAGTCAATTCCGACTCATAGCGCCCCCCACCGGGTTTCCAGGTCTGCAAATCTTTACCGAAGTAGATGGCCTCATCTTCCTCCCTTGGAGCAGCTCGTGGGTTTGAACTGCCGACCTCTGGTTAGCAACCAGATGCCTTACCCAGCACACCACGAGAGCTCCTTGAAAGTTCACTTGTTATATATAAATCTTTATACATATATCATTATTTTATGTATCTTTTTTACGTACAGGTATGCGTTCCTTAGTCTCCATCGTAAGTTTTGTGAAATAGGACATTATGCAATTTGGACACTGTACAAACACCATATAGAAAGGCAGTCCCACAAAATCCTTAGTTAAATCCTCATTTATTATATTAAAGGGAGCTTTGGTAGCATAGTACCTAAAGCACTTGACTGCTAACCAGAAGGCTGGCGGTTCAAACCCACCAGCCACTCCTCAGAAGGAAGGTTGGGCAATCCACTTCCGTAGCGATACTACCTCGGAAACCCAAGAAGGTGTCGCTATGAGTCAGATCCAACTCGATGGCAAATAACAACAACAACAACATATTAAAACCTTATGGGAGTTCAATGGCCAAAGCCAGAGAGGTGTATCCACTGGGTACGTGTCTATCAGATGTCTCTGATGTGTTGCCGGGTTGTGCAAGCAGCTAAATCCGGACTTTGTGTATTAGGGTTTGGTAGGGGCAAGGAGGGCAGTAGGGGAGATGAGGCTGAAGGCAGGGAGCCAGTTGCAGGTGCCAGTAGCGTAACTGGCGGTGGCGGCCCTGGCTGCTGATGCCCTGTTGGTGATCATGTGAAGCCACTGAGACCATAGCTGCAGCTGCCTGGGACCAGGATCCCGCGAGAGCACCCTAGGCACAGTCAACGTCGCCACGCACCGGTGGAGGGAGAGGCGGAGCCGCAGCTGCCCTGCGCCAAAAGTGAAAGGCTGCACGGCGGCAGACCGAAGGTAGGTGGGTGAATGAAGCCTGGAGGAGATTTGTGGGGACTGAGATGTGCTCTGAAGCCCCACTGCTCATCCACTCTGGGGTTTTGAAGTCTTTAAAAATATTAGGGGAAAATAATAGACAAAAAGAGAGCTTCCCCCAACACACACACCACCTTTTTTAAAAACCTTATAGGACCTCTGACGTACACTAGGTCAGACGTTGCAGGAGTGATAGAGCTTCTTGTTGTTGTTGTTGTTGTGTGCCGTCGAGTGGGCCCCGACTCATAGCATAGCGACCCCTCCTCGACTCATAGCGACCCCTCCTTGGGTTGCCGAGGCAGTATCACTACAGAAGTAGATTGCCCAACCTTCCTTCCAAGGAGTGGCTGGTGGGTTTGAACCGCCAGCCTTCTGGTGAGCAGTCAAGTGCCTTAGGCACTATGTTACCAGAGCTCCTTTTATGAGCTAGGTGTTTTTTATTGTTGTTGTTGTTATTGTTGTTATAAATGGAAAATGTGCTCATTCAAACAATTAAGTGTAGATGATGTAAGATGAAAAGCAAAAATGCCCTCATCCCCCATCTTAGGGTCTGGAGATAGCACCTCCATCCCTGGCATATTAAAACCCACAAAGAGTCCTTCTTTACAGTAACTGAAGTCATTATAATACATAACATTCTACATGTTGCTGTTTTACTTAGCAATATAAATTTCACATCCTTGAACCTTCTTAAAATTCTACTTCATTCATTTAGACAGCTGTGTAGTATTCTATTAGATATAACCCAATCAATTTAAGGAGCCCTCTATTGATGGACATTTGTTTTTTCCTCCTTTTTTTTGTACTACAACCAATGATGGCATGAGCTTTGTGGTGGACACGGAGATAGAAAGACTTGCTGTCTCAACTATTGGCAGACAGCCTTTGGTTGTCATCTCCTTGGTGGTTTCCTGCCTTGCTCAAGGGTACACCCTTCCCAGGGTGGTCACATCTAAATGATGATCAAGCGGGGGGCGGTTATAAATGTCTGGCCATTTAAGGCTAACATCGGAACACTTGGAAAGCGTCCATACACTCAAGAACTCTCCATGGGTTTGGGCCTGCATCACAGTTTGATTTATCCCTCTGCCCAATCCTTCTTCAGCAGGTACCCTGTATCCTAAATTTCATCTCAGCCATCTCCTTTCAGAGACCCTAAACTGCAACAAATATTATTATGTATATGTATGTATGTATGTCTTTGCACGCACATATATAAGGAGTTCTTTAGTTCAGATGCTAACCAAAAGTCTGGTGAAAAAAGATGGAAGAAAGATGAGACAGTCTTCTGTAAAGATTTACAGCCTTAGAAACTCAATGGGACCATTCTACTCTGTCGTATAAGGTTGCTATGAGTTAAAATCAACTCAATAGCAGTCGGTATAGATTAATGGTTACCTGAATTTCTAACTTTAACTTGTATACATACTGCCTTGGAAACCCAGGAGGGGTCGCTATGAGTTGAATCGACTTGAGGACAGTGAGTTTGTTTTTTTTTTAAAATACCAAACCAAACCAATCCCATTGCCATACCTATATATAATAATGTTGTTGTTGTTGTTATGTGCCGTCGAGTCGGACCCGACTCATAGCGACCCCTATGATACAGGTTTCCAAGGCAGTATCCTAGGAGGGGTCGCTATGAGTCGGGGCCGACTCGACGGCAAACAACAACAACAACAACAAATCACTACGGAAGTAGATTGCCCCATCTTCCTTCCGAAGAGTAGCCGCCAGCCTTCTGGTTAACAGTCAAGTGCCTTAGCCACTATGCTACCAGAGCTCCCATATATAATAATACATATATATGTATACACATATACATATATGTAATAATATTTGTTTCAGTTTAGGGCCTCTGAAAGGAGATGGCTGAGATGAAATTCAGGGAACAGGGTACATTTAGACATCAGCACTTGTGGAAGGAGGACTGGGCAGAAGAAGAAATCAAACTGTGATGCAGGCCCAACTCCATCAACAAAATGTTAATAAAAACTTTGCATCGATATAAATGCCCTTGCCAGTATTGCATATAATACAACTTTGAAATCTTCAAAATCTGAAAAGTTAGAAATGCTCTTTGTTTTAGCCAGGTTGAATTTTCAACAAATAACTTTGTGAGCCCTCTTCCAGACCAAGAGCCAGCAAAATTTTTCTCTAAAGGGCCAAACAGTAAACATTTTATTTAGGCTTTGTGGGTCATATAATCTCTGTCATAACTATTCAACTCTGCTGTTGTAGCACAAAAGCATCCATGGACAATAGGTAAACAAATAGCCGTGGCTATGTTACAATAAAACTTTATTGACATAAATAGTAGTTTTCTGGTGCTTGATCTAGATGAGTACTAGCCAACAGAATTCTCTGGGATGATGGGAATAGTCTCTGCTATCCAATATACTAGCCTTCAGTTATTGAGCACTTGAGATACGGTTAATGAGAATAAGGAAAGAATTAAAATGATTGATATTACATAATTTTAATTAACTTAAATTTATACAGAACCTGTGGCTAGTGGTGATACTATTGAACATATCAATGTTCTATAGTTCTATGTTCAATGTTCATCTACTTCAAGAGCACTAGACTAGGAAGCAGAGTCCTGGTTCTAGTCCAGATACAGCTGTCCTGCTGTATGTCTTTAGAGGAATCACTTCACCTCTCTGAGCTGAAGTTCCCTCAGCTCAACAAGGAGGGGATTTGACTTTATCATCACCAAGTTATCTCTCAGTGTTACATGTTCTATTTCTAGATTCTTATTTTTGCATCATTATCCTGAAACTATAATAATTGAAAAGAAAGAATCAGAAATATTTAATATTTAAAAATAAATACACTCCTGTAATGGTGTAGCTTCTCAGTTTGGCATGGATTTGTACCTTGTCTTTTAGGCAAGTCTCTTTCAAGGAAGTTAGTCATCTCAATAAATCTGTGTGCTCTCTTTGTTAGAAGGCTCCTGGAAATTACTTAGAGGCTTAACATAATACAGCTTTGTCCTTCCAGTGCAACTAGAAACATCATTCTCTGCAACTATTTAATGTCAAAATGCAAATGATATTTTTTTCCTTTTTGTTAACCAAAACTCAATAAACTCACTGCCCTCAGGTCGGTCCTGACTCATAGCGACCCCTCCTGGGGTTTCTGAGACAGTGTCTCTAAGGAAGTAGATTGCTCAATCTTCCTTCTGAGGAGTGGCTGGTGGGTTTGAACCATCAGCCTTCTGGTTAGCAGTAAAAAGTACCTTAGGCACTACGCCACCAGAGGTCCCTTGTTAAAGCATTTCTAATTATGATCCATACAATATAAGCAGTGCTGCTGTTATAATTTTATTGTGTTTAAACTTAAAAACAGACAGGCAAGGGTGACGTTCTTATTGATCATGGTAATATCTCATGATGAATATCTCTGTGAAACTACAGTGAACTTTTCTAAAAGCTGTAATAATTAATGATTCAGGGAACTATTTGTCTATAATTGCTCTCATGATGCGATAGAAAAAGTCCTTGCTCCCAATGCACTATAGTCATGTATTCAGGGGAATTTTCCCCAATCTCACTAACGTAGCTAGGAATCAGGGGTGGGCTCCAGCACTCAGCTATCATCAGCCAAATATTCTGCTGAATCAGCTTCATGTACCACTACTCAACCTCACCTGACTCATTTTTAAAGGTATGTACTAAAACAAAAACAAAACTTTTTACTGCCAAGTCAATTCTGACTCATAGTGACCCTATAGGACAGAGTAGAACTGCTTCACAGAGTTTGCAAGGCTGTAAATCTTTACAGAAGCAGAGTGTTGCACCTTTCTCCCACAGAGTGGCTGATGGGTTTGATCCACTAACATTTCTATGAAATAGAAGGTCCCTGGATAGAGGAGGCAGTTGACACTAACTACTAACCTAAAGGTTGGTGGTTCAAAACTGCCCAGTGGAACCATAGAAGACAGCCCTGACAATTTGCTTACATAAAGATCACAACCAAGAAAACCCTATGAAGTAGTTCTGCTCTGCAATACACAGGGTCACCAAGAGTTAGAATCAACCTGAAAGCACAAATTTAGTCTTTTTTGGTTTTATGAGGCAGGTTAGGTCATTAAACATTTTTGAGGTCATTAATTAGGAATAATTCCTTTCTCTCTCTCTCTCTTTAACAACAAGGACCCTTTTCTCAAGGTAGAGTGACCCTCAATAATGATGTCTTATATTTTAGTATATGTGTTACTGAAGCGAAGCACTGAGTTAGCACAATCTTTAGATTAAATGAAAGATATGCCTAGATTCTCTCTGATACACATGGAACACTATGTTATTGAACGACTTACTTCATTCATAATTTTTGCGTTATTCTTGGCCAGAACCATATTCATTGAGTCCATCAATGTAGAATACTTCAAAGTGTCTGGGTGCTGGCGGTACTTTTTTTCACTGATAATCTCCATGGCTTTCCTGTTTTTCTCAGCCTCCAGGGAGCCCAGAGGAAGCCATCCAATGCCCTTCATGAAGTCGGCATAGTCAGCTTTGTACTGATTCTGTGGAGAAGGAAACAGACAATGATGAGAAGAAACCAAAGTTTCCAAGAACTTAGTGTGCAGCTAATATTCCATAGCTTCCACTTTCGTTTTCAACCAATAAAACTATTGTGTTGAATCTCCACCACTTTTAATCCTCAATTTTTGTCTTTTCTACATTTCCCTACCTGAGAAATTTAAAATGAGCAGAAATAGTATTGTGATTTCTATGTCCTCTTTGATGCATTCATAAAGAAAAGTGTTAGGCAACACCAAATAGGTTAATCTGCCATGTAACTATTTTGTCCTTGAGAAGGTCACTATACTGACCTAATATTCCCAAGTCCCTTATTAATAGATGACTTAGAAATTCATTACTCCTCTCTTTTGCTGTAAGTGTTTGATTACCCATCATTGTCACAACTCTCTTGGACATGCCAGAAACCTTACTGGGACTTTAGGCAAGTTTCATTCGCACCTGCCTCTCTACCCCCACCCGCACTCAGCTTGGGCACTTCCCTCTAAAACTATATCACATTTACTTTCACGTGGACACTTGAGTACCTGTCTGGCAATTAATAACTCAGCTTCACATTCCCAAAGAGAGATAGGCTTGGCATGGCCTGTCTTTGGTTCTTAGTTTAAAACTTACTTCCCTACTAGCCATCAAATGGTTTCTAGAGCTGAATTCTTGGCTTTCTACCCTTTCTGCCTTCCTTATATTTATTCTAAAAGCTGCCTCATCCAGTACTTTTCAATGTTTCACCAGTAAGGAAGACAGGCAATTATGAAGTTAGAAGTACCACGTAATAAAAACTGGTTGGGTTTGAAGGGCAGGAGCTATCAAGTCATTTGATTTCCTGCTCTCCCTCTTACTCTTCTATCAGGAGACTTTTATATTTCACGCCCTCCTTGGTATATGCATATCCTTCCACACATTCTTTCTGAAGCCAAACTTCATTTGCTACTCTTGAATTCGGACTTCAATGTTCACAGTAACAACAGTAGAAAATAAGGTTTAGTTTCTAGCATCAATAATGTCCTTTAGTTTAAAGAAAGATATTCAATCTAAAGTAACAAATAAAACACCTTGTCAGGAAATTACATACAAATTTCTCTCAGAAATTTAAATTTTTATGAGTCATAGTCATTCATGATTTGTTTAATATGCATAGAGCTCTTTAAATGCTGTGGCTTTCACATACATCACTTTGGATCTGCATCATGTTCTTGGCCAATTCAAAGCTCATAGCATCAGGAAGCATGTTATAGGTGTGGATCACATTCCTGTAGTTGGTGTTGGTGGCTACTTCCTGAGATTTCTTGGCAGCCACTACACTGAACATGTCCACTGGGGTATGGAAGGATGTCTTGGATTTCTCATAAGCCTTCTTGTATTCCCGATCTGACTGCATCTTGGCCACCTGCATGAAGTGCACTAGCTTGGGATCATCCTCCAGGCTCCGGAAGCCAATGTGTTTCCCTTTGGCTTGTTCATAGGCTTGTTTGTATTTGTACTGTGGACAGAAGAGAAAGCATGGCAGTTAAAACAGTGAAGGAAAGAAAACAAAGTATCATGTACTAGACATCCTGAGCTTTCTATAGGTGTAGAATTTGAAAGCTACTTTAAAACTTTAAAGGAAGGAGCTCATAAGGGGCAGGAAACAAAAGCTTTTTTCTTCAGATTTCTTCCCAGACTGGAGTCCAGGTAAAGAGAGTGATCTCACAGTTAATTCAAGAGACACTTGAGACATGTGGGTTTAGAATGATTTAGAAAGCATCTTTCCCAATTCAGGTGTCCAACAAGCAGAAAAGGCTGCAGGCATGATTTCTCAGGTGCTGTTAAATTCAGAAAAGAGTCTGGTCAAGTGTCTCCTGGGTAAACTATGTATACTGCATTCCTATGTTTGCTTAGAATTGCCTATAAATAGTTTGAATAATCTGAAAGCAACTTACTTTAATAAGACCCAGTCACTTTTTACATTAAATCATGAACAAAGGATTAAAGGGTGCATGATTGGGCTAAGGAGGTGTCTTGTGTGGTATACGGGATGGCTTTCCCACCAACACTGAACAGAGCTCACTCCAGCTCCGACACACCAGTTTGACTTATTTGCTCATATTCTTTCAGCCTAAAGGAGGTCCAGTAGAAACACTTACATCACTGGCGTTGTCTCTAGAGGCTCTTGCAGCCTTTATTGAGATAGCATCAGGCCTCAGGTCATATCCTTTCTTCTTTTCCTCTTCCCAGCCAGCTTTGTACAGTTTCTAAATGACAAAATAGAAAAACAATGTTGTTGTTGTTGTTGTTATGTGCCCTCGAGTCGGCCCCGACTCATAGCGACCCCTCCTTGGGTTTCCGAGGCAGTATCACTACAGAAGTAGGATTGCCCAACCTTCCTTCCGAGGAGTGGCTGGAGAAAAACAGTAGCACCTATTTATTTCAAAGTGGCATGTGCAAGACAGACATTCCATAACTATTAGTTGCTTTCAATCTCCTCCCCCATTTCGTTGTTGCTGCTAATCTACTTACATCACTCATGGTGATTTGGTTTACTCTGGAGAGTAAAATATCAGGAGTATCGGGCATAACATGAATGGTGGTCTTGTCTTTGTCCCATTTTTCAGTGTAGCGCCTCTGCAACAAGAAAATCAGGCATATGGTTTCACAGCAGGACAAGTCTGTAACAATGTAACTGAGGAGAACAGATTCCACATCCCCATGGTCAAAGAGGTTAAATCAGATATTAGAAATAGGCTGAAGTAGCAAGAAAATGGGCTGAGAAACTGTGTATACAACAACAACAAAGATCTTCCACTTGAGCAACAAATACCATTTTGTCCCAACCCCACAACTGTGTGGAATATTGCAAGTCTCTCGCATCTTCAACATGGTGGTGGAAGACAGCCTGAGCATCAGTGTTAGAAAAAAAGTCTTCAGACATGATGAAATGTATACAATCCCCCACCCCTCTGAGCACTATTTGTTGTTGTTGTTATGTGCCGTCGAGTCAGCCCTGACTCATAGCGACCCCTCCTTGGGTTTCCGAGGCAGTATCACTACGGAAGTAGGATTGCCCAACCTTCCTTCCGAGGAGTGGCTGGTGGGTTTGAACCGCCAGCCTTCTGGTTAGCAGTCAAGTGCCTTAGCCACTATGCTACCAGAGCTCCCTGAGCACTATTACCACCAGAAAAATAAGTGTGCACAAGAGAACTCTAGGGGCACTGCCGGGTGCAATAAACAGCATGAGTATCTGTGGTTGAGGCTAGCAGGTGAGTTCTCACCTTATCCATATTCAGTTTGTTACTTTTGTTGAGTACTTGTTCCATTGTGTCCATGGCGTAGGTGAACTTCAACTTCTCTGGGTGCTGGCGATACTTCTTTTCACTAAGTATCTCTCCTGCTTTCTTTGCCTTCTCGACCTCCAGCGACTGTATTGGGATCCATCCAATCCCTTTCATCCAGTTGGTGAAGTCGGATTTGTATAGATTCTTTACAACAAAAAAGAGAAATTTTCATCTGAGGAAGGGTCAGCCCTTCAGGTCCTTTTGCTAGATGATTTAGTTATTGTCATTTAAAAAAAAAAAAAAAAAGACAAATAACCTATTTTACCCCCAACTGTCATTTAGAAAAAATTAATTACAAAAAGAATTGCATGCATGGTGGTTTTGAAGAGGAAATCCTGACCCAACAGTTGCTTTAAGAAATAATTTTCTTGGGAAAAGAAATGAAAAGTTAAAGAAAGGAGACATATCTGCTCCAGCCTCTGATACGTACAGTACATCCCATCTTCCTTAAATGTAGGGAAGAAAATTTTACACTGGAAGAGATATATGTATCACCCATTTAAGCCTCTTGATTTTTCACAGACTCTATATGATATATTGGTCATATACTAGTCAAAGTTTTGTGTTTTTTTAAATAACATATAATAACAAAATAAAATTACTTGTAGTTCAAATGGGTAAAATCGTAAAACTTCAAATCTAGGAAGGGATCCTAAGGACAGTGAGTCCAACTGGCTTTAGAATGGAGCAAGTAGATTTTCCTAGTTTTTGTTCTGCCTTCCCACTGGCTGGAGATGGGTAACTAGCCCAATGCTGACACTTCTGTAGACTGTTACGTACATCGCTCTGAATCTGCATCGCATTCTTGGAGTGCTCCACATTCATGGCATCGGGCAGCAGTGTGTAGTTGTGGAAGGGCTGTCTGTAGTTGGTGTTGGTAGCGACTTCCTGAGATTTCTTTGCAGCTGTCACACTGAACATATCCAAGGGTGTGTGATAACTGGTCTTGCTGGCTTCATAGCCCTTTTTGTATTCACGATCTGACTGGATTTTAGCTACATGCATGTAGTGAACCAGTTTAGGGTCATCCTGAAGACTGAGAAATCCAATTTGTTTACCTTTGGCTTTCTCATAAGCCTCTTTATATTTGCACTATATGAGAAAGAAAGACAGAAGTTAGAAGGGGTACAGCATAGAAAATACTACACTATACATTAAACTATATTTCTTAATACTAAATTTAAAATTATATTCAACTATATTATTTATATTAAGTATAAATGATATTTATATTTAATAATATTAAACTATACTCATGTAAAAATTAAAGCAAATTCAATCTGAATTTAGGTAATATCTAATTGTTCAAGTTAAAAAATTTTTTTTTACAATTATTTAAAAATAAACAACTAGAAAAATGCTTCTAAAGGATGGTTTTGAATCTTGCTCTGGGGATAATTAAGAATTGAATGATTTGTAGCTTACATATAGATTATTTATAAGTAGATTCTTTGAATGTGCTCAAAAGTTCCTGAAAATTTTGTTTCTTAAGTATTTGATGTGTGTTTTTTTATTATCTGGTTTCTACTATTACCTTATAAAGTATTTGCCTAATCATGAGTAAATTTCAACAATGTCTTTGTACAAATTACTATGTTGGATTCCAAATGAATGAATTTTACTTTTCATAAGGAGAATATAACTAAATATTGTTGAATTAATAAATTAATTAAATTTCTATAACTTAATCCATAATTCTTCCTGGTTGTCATTAGATGTTTCTTTTTGTGGAAATTACAAAATTAAAATTTGTATTCTTTTAAAAAATTTGGGCACTGTTTCAATTGAGTGATATTTTAGTATACCAAGACTCTTTCTCTTGACAAAATCTAAATAAAAGGCAGTATTCAAGTTTTATAACAATGATATTAATGAAAATTCCAAATATTATAGTTTTTTAAAAGAATTTTATTCTTTATAGTGACTATATTCTTTAAAGATGTTTTAAGTATTTTATTAAAAATAGGCACTTAGGATATTAAGAAGTACTTTTATATTGTAATTCCCTTATTTGCTTCTTAATTTAGCTCATACAGGCTTATATACCATGTAAAGATTTTAAAAGTAGACAGAAAGCCTACTACTTTCAAATTAGACTTACATCACTAGCAATATTCCGTGAACTTTTTGCAGCAACTATTGGAATAGCATCTGGTCTCAAATCATAGCCCTTAGCAATGGTTTTCTTCCAGTCCGCTTTATAATGAGCCTTTAAAACAGGAAAGATTATTTCATCATTGATATAATTAAAAGAAGAATAAAACAGGATGTTAAAATCTTCCTCATAAAACATGTCACAATATACCTCTTTCTATTGGGAAAACTCATGGAATTAGGGCTATTACTTCATCTTCTATGTATCTACCAGATCTTTATAAAAACACCACCAAATGGAACTGTATACACAGCATGATCTCAGCCTCTTGAAAAACGTATGTATTTACACAGCAAAGAGACAAAGGTAATGTTTTGAATACAAGATAACAGAAGATTTTTTTTCTTTTATAATGTTCTATATTTTCCAGATTTTCTATAATACTCATGTACTTTTTTTGTACTGTTTGTAATGAAGCATTTGAAATTTAGAGAAAAACATGGAAATTAATGTAAACAATTCTGGCGTGATACCACTCAGCTTTTATAAATCCTAATGTTTTGCTTTTATGTATTACTTACAAAATTAAAAAAAAATAAACCAAATATATACAATAACTTCTAAAAAAGAGTTTATTTGGAGACCAAAGAGAGCCTGAAACTTTAGGAAGAATGAATGAACCATTTTTTAAGAAATTAACAATGTAATTCAAGTTTGATTGTTCTGTAATTAAAATTTACTGATGTAAAAAAAAAAAAAAAAAAAAATAGGGAAGGAGAATAATAAATGAAGGAACTAGAATATCCAAGAGAAAGGCAACTTATAGAGATGTGTTTCTGAAGATAATTGCACTAACTTCTTTTGGAAGTTTTAATAAAGGATTGAAACAAAAGTTTTAGAAAACAAAACTTATCCTTACTATGGACTGTGTGCTCGTACATTTTCCCATCATACCTATCCCATTTTGTTCCATTGAAATAAAAAAAAGAAATGCTGGTCATAAGCTCCTGAATTGATTTCACAGTCCACAGTCCATGGATTAGAAATGTCTGTGGCCCCAGTACTTAAACCCTTGACTTCTGGCTGAGAGATCAGAGGTCTGAACCCACACACAGGTGCTCAGAAGGCAGTCCTGGAGGTCTGCTTCTGAAAGATCCCAGCCTGGTAAACCCTGTGGAGCAGTTGTACTCTGCACATATGAGGTCACCGTGAGTCAGACAACTTGATGGCCACCAATGCCAACGTTTTAAAAAGCCCTCTAGGCTCATGTTATCTAATAAGGATCTAATCTGGAAACTCAAAAGAAGTCACGCTCAGTTTGCTCCCCTTAAATTTATTAGTGTGAGAGTTCCACAGAACTAGAAAGGAGAGGTTGTCATGAGCAAAATTAGACTGGCACCAGGCCAAATACTCACATCACTCATGTTGAGAGCATTGACTTTGGCTTGAATAAACTGGGGCAATTCCGGGTCTATGGTATACTTGTGTTTCAGTTTCTCTCCCTCCACCTTGTAGTTCAACTAAAAAGAAAAGAGACAGCATGCAAATGCCTTTAGCTGACATAAAGTGTTTTATCAAGCTCACACTCTAATGAAGACTATCCATATCCCAGGTAAATACCTAAACCATCACAGGGGTTTTAATAGACATATTCATGTATTCATTTTACCACTATTTTTTGGATAGCGCTGTGTGTTAGGCACAGTGATAGGTTCTGCTTGCAAGCAAATGATAGAAAGGGCAGACTTGGTCCCTGTTCATGGAGTTCGTAGTCCAGTAAAGAAGACAGATAATAAACTCATGAACTATAAAATATAGTTAAAATTTGTGACGTGTTGCAAATGGAAAAGCTGTAGGGGATAGCAGAGTGGTCGGCAAAGGTTCTCTGAGGAGATGATATTTTGTACCAACTTGGAGAAAGGACAGGAGAGTGGGGCAAATAATGAGCATTCCAGGGCTGGTGAAGAACCCTGAGTCTAGAAAGGACTAGGTGGCCTCATGTGACTGTAGTGTGTGGAGGGAGGCCAAGAGGGGGATAGAAGGAGAAGGCAGGGCTATATGTGCAGTTTTATGAGCCGCGTTAACAAGTTTAGATTTTAAGTTCAAGGAGAAGTTATTAAGGGATTTTAGTATAAAAGCGATATGATTTTATTTATGCTCTAAGATAGTCTGTCTAGTTATTGTGTGAGACCGCAGGAAGGGAATCCAATGAACAGGTTTTTAGAGCTGTCCACGGGATACAGAATGAGTTGAAAGGGAGAGGGGTGCTCAGACAGGATAGTTGAGAGATATTTTGGAGACTGACTCTGCAGATATATTGGATGTAAGGAACTGAAACAGGCAGGCATCAATGTTTCTGACTTGACTAGGTAAATGTTCATGGTGGGTTTTTTTTTTTTTGGGGGGGGGTGGGATTAGATGGAATACAGCAAGTGTACAGTTTTGTTTTTTTGTTTAGCTAATTGGAAAAACACAGTGGAAAGTGACACCAAGTTCAGTACAAAAGAAATTCAAGGAAGCGAATTTACAATAGAATTAATCTTTAAATGATAATGTAGGGGCTGAAAATAAAATCTATGGATAATCCCCAAACCTGAGACAACAAAGCACTCCTCACTTTCCAAGATCTGGGGACTAAAAACGCCTTTTACTTATCTCCCTGTCTTGTGAAGGTGTTTTAAAGGAACTATGAAATTATCACAAGGAGCCCAGCGGTGTAGTGGTTAAGTACTTGGCTGCTAAACAAAAGGTCAGCAGTTCAAACCCAGCAGCCATTCCGTGGGAGAAAGATGAAGCAGCCTGATTCTGTAAAGATTTATAGCCTTGGAAGCCTTATGGGGCATTTTTACTCTGTCCCATAGAGCCACTATGATTTGGAATCAACTCGATGGCAACGTGAGGAACTTACTCAATGATGTGAAGCACTGAGCATAATAATTAGCTCCTCAAAGACTGAAAGAACAAGAGTCCCAGACAGACCTGGGCTTAGAAATGAGACCCCAGATGACTCCAAAAGCAAATTGCTTATCTCCTGCCATGAGGCCTCTCTCTGAGGGCCTCTCAGAACATGGAAGTATTAGGCAAGGGGATTAGGATATTGTGCCTTCTCCCCATGCAGCTAGGCAGAATTTTGCAGCTGAGAGTAATACAAAGTTTATTTGGCAATTCAAACAGTCACAAATAATAATAGTAATGCCATTATTTTGTATGGATAATGGGTAGGTTTTTTTTTTTTTTTAAATGAATATATTTGGAATATAAAGCAAATTTGAAAATCCCCTCCCATCTCTCCATTTTTCCAAAACAAGATCCATATTGCATAAAAAGTAAAACCTTTCTATTATTCCTTTGAAAGCAATTTATTGCCTAACATAAATGCACCTTCATGTATTAAATTAAGAAAGATGATGGAGTGGCTTGTTTGTGGGGATTATTCACAGACCAGCACTTTTGAAGGGAAAACGCTTACATCACTTAGCTGCTTTGTGTTATGCTGAGCCAAAACCATGCCCATTGAGTCAGGTACACTTGTGAACTTGATGGTGTCTGGGTGCTGGCGATACTTCCTCTCGTTTAACGCTTCGCCTGCTTTTTTGGCTTTCTCGACCTCCAGAGAACCAAGAGGGATCCATCCAATGCCCTTGAAGAAGCTATTATATTCATCTTTATATACATTCTGTAAAAGAGTAATTCCATATGATGAGATATCTCAGAAAATATTCAAGAAATGTTTCTGAAATCTGCAATTCCTTCCCCAGGTAATGAATAACAACTCTTCTCGCATGTTTGTGTCTGTAATGGAGCTCTTGACTATGTCTGTCCCAGAGCCTATTACCTGGAATTTGGTAGCAAGATAAAGAAACTCTGCTGTCAGAGTGCATTATACAACACCAAAGGGAATCTGGGTCATATATTTCCATGAGTACTACTAAAAAAAAATCAGGTTTTCCTTTTGATTTCACTGAAGACTCTAAAATTTTAGTTTCATCCAAAGTTTCTCTGTAAGCCCCACTGTCCATTTTGACTATTCCTGAGCTCAGCTGGGGAGAGACATTTTCACTGAGCAACAATAAATCAACATAATTTCTTCCCTTCACAGAGGACAGTTCTTCCAGAAATCTGGTTCCTGCAGAAGGAAATGCCCTGAATATTAAACCCCCTCCCAGTGCAGCTCTCCATGAATCATGCTGCAATCACAAAGCCTTGATGGTCCATTTTAGATGATTCATTCCAAAGATTTACATGGAGGAGAGTGTGACCCTGAGTTAAAAAAAGAAAAAGAAAAAAAAAAAAAACTTTCCCAAATTCAGAAAGAATAGAGAATTTTCCTATTTTATATTATATACCTAAGCTGGTCCACAAGAAGCACCTATATTCTCCCTGTTGACAATCAGGATGGCTTGCCCCGTTAGTGGAATATGGTTTTATCTTTGATCCAGAAAGACAATGTCATAATCATTATGACATAAGCACGTTAAGTCAGCAAAAATAGCTTATCTGTCATATCTTTGCTAATCTTTCAATAATGGCCATTTATTTTAAAGTACAGTTTAAAAACTCTTATTGTATTCCAAAGTCTAATCAAGTAGGGAGAAATGATCATCCTTAAGTGCACACATCTCTGAGTCTGTTATGTCACACATACTTACATCGCTCTGAATTTGATTCACGTTCCTGGTGTGCTCAAGACTCAGGGCATCAGGTAGGTATGTGTAATGATGTAATGGCTGTTTGTAATTGACATTGGTGGCAACATCTTGGGCCATCTTTGCAGCTGTAATGCTGACCATGTCCCCAGGGGTATGATAGCTGGTTTTGGTATTCTCATAGTTCTTCTTATATTCACGATCGGACTGCAACTTTGCCACATTCATATAGTGGACCAGCTTGGGATCATCTTGGAGACTTCTGAAACCCACATGCTTTCCTTTTGACTTTTCATAAGCTTCCTTGTATTTATACTGCAGAGACAGAATTTGGTTAGCAAAGCTCTAGGCATTTTAAAACATTTGGTACAGCTATTGTATTCACACACACAGGCCCTCAGAACATTGTAACTTTCTGGAAGCCTGTACACAAAATACAAACCACACCCCTTTCCAGAGAGTTTAGAGTGAAAGCACTTATTTCAAACCCTGTTGGGGTTTTAAGAGGGTGTCATGATAAATGCAGAATCCATCTCTTTTCTTTGCTATGAATCCTGCAGATGACTTGCACATAGAGCTTTTTAAAACCAATTGACTGTGCGCATGTAATGTGTATATGACATGTCAAATATATAAAACCAATACCTCTTGGTTTTTCAGGAATATAAATTATCAACCCAGTGTTATTTCATATCACTGAGTATTTAAAAATCATTGAGGAACTCTTGCCATTGTCTGTTCCCATTGGTCTAGTGTTATATGCACAACAGGTGCAGAAGAGAACTCTACAAGCAAGAAGTTAACACTAAGGTCCTCCTGGGGTGAGGTGCAGATGACATTGCTGTGTTTGTTGTCTGATGTTGGCCAAATATGGTTAAACAAAAACCTTCTTCTTCTTAGGTAACACCAATTGAAAGGTAGTGAGACCTTCAGCTACCCCCTTTCTCAACAGCTGCTTTTCAATCCTGCTGCTGAAACAGCTGCAAATGAATTAAGGAACTACACTAAGGGGAGGAATAGCTGTTGACTTCTCCCACCAGCAAAAATCTAATGGCAAAAGCTCTGCTGCCAAGGTCTCTGCTGGAGTCAGTAATGGAAATGTAGATAGAGCTGTACTGTAATAGGTCAAAACTTCAATCTATATACAAGAGAATACAAATCCATCTGAATTCTGCAGATATTCTGCTATGTGAGTGCTAATTGACAAACAAAGGTTTAGCAGGTGAAGAAGATTATCAAGTAATTTCTAGGCAGGCTAGAAAAATCACTGTGCAAGTAGTGAACAAAAAAAACTGATAAAGTCATTTTAGACTTTCGCTTTCTCCTTAAAACTGGAAACATATGTCTTAGGGATGTGCATGGTAAGCAAACGTTTGAGGGAAACATTTTCAGTACCATGCCTGTGAAGAAAGCAGTGGTCTCTACGCGTGTTGACTTCTTTCTTCTAGACTTTTCTCAAACCGAGATTGTAGCCCGTGAAAAAATGTGAAAGGGAAATGACTACTTTCAGAAATATTTTTTCCCTCAAAGATGGGATTAAGTATAAATGTATATTTTTCTATTACAAATGAAATGGTCTTTGTCTTGGCAAAAATAAAAATTACATCCTAGAAAAATGAGCTTTTTCTCATTTGGCTTCTAAACAATCTCTACATTTTATGTAACAGTTGTTCAATCTTAATACAATTATAATGCAGGCAGTCATCTGAATGTAATGTGTGAGTGTCAGTCAGGGTGTTCCCAATGAAAATGAATGTGGGCTGTCAGGGAAATGTGCCAGGGAAGGTAATTTGGGCTATGAATCAGGGGCGAACATTGCTGTCAGATTTATGACAGCTCTACCAAGTAGGGTCAACTGGAAAGAGCATAAAAACATTGAAAGAGTGACAGATTTTCAAAACAATATTTTCAGGAGAATTTGAATGTCATTAATTCAACATATTGTTTTCAATGAGGTATCATTTACACAAGCACACATTTGATTACTTTTGAAAAAGGCAATCACTCAGATTTCACCAAAAATTTTTACTCACATCACTGGCAATGTTTCTTGACACCTTGGCCGCAGTGATGGGAATAGCATCACCTAGCACATTGTTGCCCTTGGCTATTAAATCATGCCAGTCCCGTTTATAACATACCTGGGATAGAAAAAAAAAAAAGAATGTCAGCATGCTATGTATTAATTAGCTGAAGTGATTTCTCAGCTGCTGGGGTTGTTTTGTTCTTTTCCAGACATAAGCTAAAGGAATTTCCTAGAGCACATAATGTTTTGGGAAGTCACATTAATAAAGCATCACATTTTGTATAGCATAAGATCATTGGACTCTGCACTAATTTTTCATCCTAATCTGGCTTAGGTACCTATTGAATAACCAGTAACCAGTTGTTGTCTAGTTGATTTCAACTCATGGTGACCCCACGTGTGTCAGAGTAATCTGTGCTCCACACAGTTGTCAATGGCTCATATTTTGGATGTAGACCACCAGCTCTTGCTTCTGAGATATGTCTAGTGAGTTCAAATCTCCAACCTTTCAGTTAACAGCTGAGCATGTTAACCATTTGTACCATCCAGGGACTCCATGTATTGAACAGGGATGTTGAAAAATGAGAGTGGGTTCAATAATAAAGTTTGGGAAATCATCACATATGAGGACTAATGGAGAAAATGAGGTTGTTCTATCTTATGAAAGGAGGCTCAAGGGAAGACCAGGTGGTCAGCTTTAAAAATTTTAGGGTTGTTGTAAGCAAAAGGAATTTATTTGTTTCTCTTTCTGCATGATAACCTCTTCCATGGGCAAAACTAGAATAACTTAGTTGAAGATTTAGGGGAATAGATTTTGGGTGCTATATAAAGAAGAATGCTGTATTCATTAGAGTTGTCCTTCTCTTGAAAAGGCTGACTCAAGAGAAAAAAAACTAGGATCATGGGATATGCTCCCACAGAGTTATGTGAGAAATTTACCTAAATAATTGTCAAAGTCCCATCCTGCTCTAAGATTCTATTATTTTATTGTGAGGTTTGGATTTCATACCCCATCAAAGATCCCACTTACATCACTGATGTTGTAAGCATTGCACTTGGCCTGGAGAAACTGAGGAAGATCAGGACTCATTGTATATTTATGCTTCACGTCTTCACCTTTAGCTTTGTATAGGATCTGCAGTGCACAACCACACAAATAATATGTATTACAAGTAATGCCAAAAAGAGAATTCATTAACTGCATACTTAAAGGCAAACTTAATGGAGTTATTCCTAGCATAAGCCCCCACTATTTCCATTGTTAAAAATGATCAAAGGCATTTTGCTATTAAAAAAAAGGGGGGAGTATCTTGTCTTCTTTACAAACATTCAAGATTTGTGTATTACAATAGAGAAAAAAAAAATCCTTCAGAAAATAGGAATCTTTGACTGCCAGACATGAATGGAAGGTAAATTCAAACGTGAAATTCAAATGTGAAAAACAGAATTCATCAAACCGGATGAGTTTTTTTTGGGTTTTTGTGCACGAAGTCAGTACACGCAAAAGGTTTATCATTTCATGTTTATATGATTTGCCATTTTAAAGAATTATATACACTTTTCACTTAAAGATGTCAAAATATATAATGTAGCAATCTAATTGTACTTCTTCTTGGTAAGGGAAAATAAATGAATTACATAATATCTAAAACTAAAACAGAACTAGAATCAGAAATAGATATTCTTAGCATATAAACTCCTTTTTCCCAGGGACTATTTGGAATATCATATGTAGACTGGTGTATATGTATTACACCAAAAACCAAACTCACTGCCATCAAATCGATTCTGACTCATGGAGACCTCTCCTTGGGTTTCTGAGGTGGTATCACTATGGAAGTAGATTGCCCAATTTTCCTTCTGAGGAGTGGCTGGCAGGTTTGAACTGCCAGCCTTCTGGTTAGCAGTCAAATTCCTTAGCCACTACGCCACCAAAGCTCCCCATGCAAGTTAGGTCTGAAATGGCTGATATCCCAATTAAATCCCAAATATTAACTAATTGCTTCAAAGAACCTAACAGTTATCATTAATTCCTCACTGCCTTTAAGACCCATAGCTAAGTACTCACCAAATCCCATCAATTCTGTCTCCTAAACATCTTTTTCCACATTGTGACGTTCTAAGTTTATGTCTGAAAAAGGCTTTCTTTGGACTTTTGTAACAGACTTCTAATTCATCTCTTTATTTCCAGCCTCCTCTCTCCCCAGTACAATCTCTGAGCTTTTTGCCAGGGTTATTTTTAAATGACAGATTTGATCAGGTGGATTAAAAAACTTCAACATTTCCTGCTACCTACCCTGTGGTGTCTCAACTCCAAATATTAGCCTGTAAGAGCCTTAATGATCTGATTACAATTCTAAACCTCTTGACTGTCCTCCCATTTTTTCCTTTGATTTTTATTACATGGTCCCTTTTGGTGGAATCCACACTTTCCTTAGTTCCATTGTATTTCACATGTGCCTCTCTTTAGGAGTCATCTCGCAGCATGGCCTTGGATATAAACATATCCCTCCCACTAGTCCTTGTCTATTTCACCTTTATACCATCAGCACATAATCCAGTGCCTGGAACATGGTGTTCAAAACATTCATTAAATGAATTAATGAGTGAATGTTTTTGATGTCCTTTTAACTCTGCTATACACCAAATTTTCCTTTAGATCTGACTTTTAATAGAGAATATACATTGCTCGTTGATAGACAGCTAAGTAATATATAATCCCCAGCAAGACATGAGTGAAAAAGTCTCTCATAATTATGCATGATGAATTCTGAGGAGCAAACACATATACTCGTATGTATAATAAGCAGAATCATTATATTCTTGTGTTGTGTTTTATATATGAAAAGCAAACATGAGCAACTTAAGATACAGTTGAATAGGGTAAATTTGCCATGATAAAGTGGCTGGGATCTGAACTTAAACTCTATGTGTGTGTGTATATAGTACTGAGGTAGAGTTTTTTGCAACATGTCAAATTTATCCAGAAGCACAGTACTTCAAGAGCAATTAAACAGGAAGAAGTTTTAAAAAGATAGGTCAAAAAGCAAACTAGAAGAAAAAGAAAATGTTAGGGTTCAAACTAAAAGTAATGATAATTTTATTTATTAACGGAACAAATAAAATAATTTTTAAATGAAAATTTATTGGCTCAGAAGAATAAGAATTTTGAGCTGATATTTATTTTTAAGAAAACATCTCCCTCCACATCTTCTGCCCCCTTTCTTTTGCTATACTTACATCGCTAACTTGCTGTGTATTTTGTTTGGCCTGGACCATAACTGGAGAGTCGACAATGCTGGTGAATTTGATGGTGTCTGGATGCTGCCTGTACTTCTTTTCATTCAGGGCATCCCCTGCCTTTCTAACTTTTTCCACTTCAAGACTGCCAATAGGGATCCAGCCAATGCCTTTCATCCAGGAGTTATAGTCTTCCTTGTAGGCATTCTACAGCAAAGAGAGAAAAGAGGAGTGGGCGTGCACGCAATGCTTTCTTTCCTATCTGGCTCTGAATTTAGACGGAGATTCTCTTGCCAAGTTAATGTCACTTACATCACTCTGAATATGCATCATGTTCTTAGACAATTCCAGGTCCATGGCGTCAGGCAGGTAGGTGTAATGATGGAGAGGATGCTTATAGTTGACATTGCTGACGATATCTTGAGCTTTCTTAGCTGCCACAACGTTGAACATGTCATGGGGTGTGTTGTATCTGGTCTTTGTCTTTTCATAGTCTTTTTTGTACTCACGGTCTGATTGTAGCTTGGCCACTTTCACATAATGAACCAGTTTTGGATCATCTTGTAGACTTTGGAAACCAACCATTTTCCCTTTGGCTTTTTCATAATCTTTCTTGTATTGAACCTGTAACAAACAAAGGTGGGCATGTTTTTTAATGTAATAATGAAGATTTTACTAAACAATAAGGCCATGATTTGAAGCCATTGAGCTTCCCAGATATAACTCTACTTAAATAATTAGTCATTTGTATGTATTTTGAAATACAGTCAGGTTTTTTTTTTAATATTATTCAGGTCTCATTCGACTGGCTGTAGATGCTTTGCTAGTCCCATCCAAGAGTGGCTGGGGTGGTAATATTACCATAAATCATATCAATGGCAGTATAAATCTCTGTATTTTTCTTTTTCAATTAGACAGTTATCAAGAATGAAGAAGAGGTATATATTTGAAAAATCCCTACCATTTATGTTATACTGCTAAAGAAATGGGAGTTCTGGTGGAGTAGTACCTAAGGCATTTGACTGCTAACCAGAAGTCTGGCAGTTCAAACCCACCAGCCACTCCTTGGAAGGAAAGCTGGGCAATCTACTTTCTTAGAGATACCACCTCGGGAAACCCAAGGAAGGGTCGCTATGAGTCAGAATGGACTCGACAGAAGTGAGTTTGGGTGTTTGCTTTTTTTTTTTTTTTGCTAAAGAAATAGACTCCAAGTAGCTGGCTACTTCATCCATAGAGAATTTCAGTTAGTCATTGGCTATTCAATGGAAGACCCAAAGCCAGTAGGGGGTAAAAGCTAGTTGGTGCTGAATAATAAAATGAGGTGAATTGAGCTTCCTTGGGAAGACCTAGGGAGGATCTAGAAAAATGAGAAACAGCTGTGAGGGGAAGGGGATATGTATGGTGTTGTGGGGGGAGTGACAGAAAAACAGAGTGAAAAAAAAAAAAAAAAAACCCAGAAAGATCTGCAACCTGGATGTGGGACAGCACCCACAGAGAAAGGGGAAGCCAGAGAGCAATTCTGGCTGGCAGGACTTTAAGGGAAAGGGCTTTATTATTCCACCTACTCTGGTGGTGCAGTGCCTAACGCAATAGACCGCTAACCAGAAGGTTGGTGGTTCAAACCCGCTAGCCACTCCTTGGAAGGAAGATTGGGCAATCTATTTCCATAGTGATACCACCTCAGAAACTCAAGGAAGGGTCACTGTGAGTCACATCCTGCTCAACGGTAGTGAGTTTGGTTTTGGTTTTGGTAACATATTCACATTGGTGCAATGCAAACCTCTTCCTCATTTCAAACAACCACTAAAGTTATGTTTGGGACTAGAGATGAATAAAACAGAAGGGGCTATGTTCTATCTGTGGGTCACACAGAACAGAAAGAGAAGTAGACTCAGAAGAGAGAGGGCAGATGAGCTAAAGAGACCAGTTTATGTAAACCAGGAGCCAGAGTGGATCACAAGCATGAAAATCTCAAAGTCTTTGCAGAAATCCTGGGAAGGTTGTCCTACAGGCCAACAGATTGGGACTTGAATAAATTTCATTTAAATCTCAAACAGCAAAGTGACTTCAGTTCACATTTGGGCTGAAGCAAGACAGGATAAGAAATAAAATTGGTAACTTTATTGGAACTTAATGACTGACTCTTAGGGGCTGTGAAACCTGAGTCTTTAGAAGGAATGAAGTACAAAGAGAGAAGTAAGGGAAAGAGGGAAATCATATAAATTAAGAAAGTTTTGAGAAAATAAATTTTTTTATTTATGGTCATTATGACTGAAAAAAGGAGCTCTGGTAGCATAGTGGCTAAGTCACTTGCCTGCTAACCAGACGGCTGGCAGTTCAAACCCACCAGCCACTCCTCGGAAGGAAGGTTGGGCAATCCTACTTCCGTAGTGATACTGCCTCGAAAACCCAAGGAGGGGTCGCTATGAGTCGGGGCCGACTCGACGGCACACAACAACAACAACAACAACAACAATGACTGAAATTAAAAAAAAAAAAAAAAAAAAAAAGTCACTGCCGTCAAGTCGGTTCTAGCTCTTAGCAACCCTTCTTTGGGTTTCTGAGGCTATATCTCTAAGGAAATAGATTGCCCAGTCTTCCTTTGGAGGAGTGGCTAATAGGTTTGAACTGCCAGCCTTCTGGTTAGCAGTCAAATGCCTTAGGCACTACACCACCAGAGCACCTATGACCTAAATAGTAATTTCTTATTTCCACAAGAGAAACAACATGAACTTGTATGGAAATTGAGATGAGAATTTTAACTTAGGGTACTTGGTTAGAACTTATCAGTAAGCAATTATGTAAAGCTTTTGCCTCAGGAAAACTCAAACTTCTGTAGGGCACCATCCTTCCTGAATTATTTTCAACCAGATTTGCTTCAGTGGGCATGGACATCAGGCATGGTGACTTTTTGATAAGCCACTAGGTCAGAATTCTATGCCATACACATATTCTGGTTACTCAAATGTGACCAGCTACTGGACTTACATCACTTGCTGCCTGCCTGGCAGCCTTGGCAGCTTTGATTGGAATAGCATCGCTCCTCAGGTCATATCCCTTCTTACTCAAATCTTTCAAGTCTGCTTTGTACATATTCTGAAAGAAAAATAACATTTGAGTATAGCTCAGAGGCCATCTTAGAAAAGGCTTAGCAACACATCAGTGACACTGTCCACACACACACACCTCACTGATGTTGTAGGCATTGACTTTAGCCTGAATGAACTGGGGCAAGTCAGCTGGCAGATTGTATTTGTGAAGAATTTCCTCTCCTTTGGCTTTGTAAACAATCTGGAAGATAAAATAAACAAATAAGCACATATACATACACAAAACAAGCAAACAAAGGAAAGCACAAATGGCGTAGGGGAAAACAATTCTGAGTGGATCATCCTGCACAGAGATTTTTCTTTTTTTTTTAATGAAAGACACTGTCTGTGCCATCCCCAAGTGCAACTGTAAATATCTGTAGGCATTCAAGGGCTCATATGCAATTCCATAGAGTTGTTATGGTTCTGGTGTTCAACCTTGGCAAAGATCCCTTGGTATGTACTGGAAACTTCTGGACTTCAGTTGGGGCACCTTGTGGAAGTGACAGGGTAAGAGACCTAGTGAAATGCTAACCTACAGATACTTTCCCTGTACAGGAAAGGAGCATAAGTGGAATATACCAACCACCACCTATATCTGTGGGCAATGAAAGGGACTTTAAGGGGAGTTTTGACAATATGTGATGTTTGTGTTTCCTCTCACTTAAAACTGCTTCTCTGTATGATGTAGTGCTAATATTCATTCTTATGGCCTGTCCTAGAAATAGGTTTGTAGCTATTCTTGTTATTTAAAGAAGCCTTTCTTACCCTTTCCTTGGAAAGCAATGTCAAATATTTGAAAGGACAGTCAATGCAAAACACCTACTCCTTACTTATCAACTACCTCATTATCCAGTATTTCACATTTACAACCATAGTGAAAGATCTACTCTGTGGCTATTTTGCACATTAATGATATATGTCTGGCAGTAATGAACACCAAGTTGCAACAGTAATGCTGGTAGAGATGGTTAAGGTTTTGTGTCAACTTGGCTGGGCCATGATTCTCAGTGGCTTGACAGGTACATAATAATGAAATTTGGCAGTTATGTAATGATGAAATTTAGCAGTTATGTAATGACCTAGTCATCCTGCATTTTGCAATCCAATGTGGTGATCCTCCATTTATCACTTATCAACATGGTTACTTTCCGAAGACTAAGATGTTACACAGGAGCGCTGGTAGCATAGTGGCTAAGACACTTGACTGCTAACCAGAAGGCTCGTGGTTAAAACCCACCAGCCACTCCTTGGAAGGAAGATGGGGCAATCTACTTCCATAGTGATACTGCCTCGGAAACCCAAGGAGGCGTCGCTATGAGTCGGGTCCAACTCCACGGCACATAACAACAACAACAACAAGATGTTACACGAAAATTGGTGTTATACAAAAAATGGATGATGACCACATCACCTCACCCCTTCACCTGAACAATAGACATCCTCTCAGGCACCTGCTGAGATCATCTGCAACTACCAACTCCCCCTCTCCCACATTGCTTGAGGAGAGCTCATCCCCCACCACCACTCACAGGGGAGGGCCAGTCAGTCCTCCAGAGCCAGGGTGGCCCAAGTACCAACCCCTCCCCATCTCCAATGCCCCCTCCTTCTCCTGCTGTCACCATATTTTCAGGATGAGTGGCCTCGGCTTATCCCCTCATTGAGCCTAAAATATCCTTGTTGGCTTTTGTGGGGGCAGTGAGTTCCCTGTTAACAGGCAGAAGGGCTTGCATACTGTAGGGAGAGGCACACTTCCTACTGGGTTCCCCTTACCTGAGCATCCTCCCATTCTTACTGGGCAGCCCTGCTCCTGTCCCCCGACCCACTACCATGTCCCCATGAGAATCAACAATCTTCCTCTGAGGCCATGATGGCCAGGCAGCCTCTGCCCTTGACCTTAAACTGCATCTGCTGCTGGTCACTCACCCCCTGACCCCACCCCCACTCAGGTAGACTCACTTGTACCCACTCAGGAGGGGGCATTGAGGAATCATGAGGGGCTGCACAGGTGCCAGTTAGCTGACGTGGGGTCCTGCAGACCTGGGGCACCCAAGTGCCCTGTCTCAAGGTTTCTTCTGACAACAGGACAGACCAACCCTGCTACCCCTCAGGACTGAGAGCTGGGGCCAGACTCCAGCATCCCACTCCTTCCTAGGGACACTGGTGGCTGCTTCCCCACCTTCAGCCTTCTGTGGGCACCCAGCACATGCTGGACAGCATCCTGTCCCAACAAGTCCCACGCCAGACACATTCAGCTCCACCTGGACACCGCAGCAGCTAGGGGAGACCACATCCCCTCACCCCTCCTGATCACATGCAGTCCACCAGTCAGGGAGTCAGGGACTTTAGCATTTGTTACTGCCAGACATGCATCATTAATGCACAAAAGAGTTGGATAGTAGATTTTTTTTACTATTATCATAAATGTGAAATATCAGATAATGAGATAGTTGATATGTGAGGAGTAGGTGTATTGTGCTTTTGCACATAATGCTCTAAAGAAATGAGTTGAGTGTAACTTATTAATGACAATCAGTGGCAGTCATACAGTAGCTAATGTAATTAGGGCTGTTTAGATTGCATAAGAAAAATAGGTGATCAGTACATGTGAAATACAAATGCATTTGTATCATTTAACATTTACATGGTTAACATTTATTAAAATATAGTCAGGATTAATACTTACATCACTCCTCTGGGCCTGGTTAATTTTAGATTGTACTGTAATAGGAGCATCTTCAATAGAGGTAAACTTGAGAGTGTCTGGGTGCTGGCGATATTTTTTCTGTTTGGCAAATTGATAAAAGAAGAACAATTATATTACTTTTCACCAAAGGCTAACATAAAAATCCTTGAAATTTACTTTGGATGGTTTCTTCCTTATTTTAAAATACAAAAATACTAGATTCTTGGTGGCTTAAAAAAAATGAATACAATGTAAAAACAAAAGTTTAAGAAATCAGTTCAATTTTAATGTACAAAACACCACATGACATGGATGAACTTGGAGGACATTATGCTGAGTGAACTGAGTCAATCACAAACAAAAAAACAAACTCACTGCCATGGAGTCATACCCGACTCATAGCGACCCCCTGCTTGGGTTTCTGAGGCAGTATCACTAGGAAGTAGATTGCTCAACCTTTCCTCCATGGAGTGTCTGGTGGGTGTGAACCATCAGCCTTCTGGTTAGCAGTAAAATGCCTTAGGCACTATGCCACCAGAGCTCCCAAGTCAATCACAGAAGGACAAATATTGTATTAGTCAGTTATTGTAAAAGTCAAGGAAAGATTTATATATGTAAGGCAATTTTCTTGTTGGTTACCAGGGGTCAGAGGGAAGGGGAGGGAACACTGTTAAATACATAGAGACAAGTATTGATTTGGGTGAAGAGAAGGGCAATGTACCAAATGTGAATGATCAACATGGTGGCACTGAGGAAGAGGACAACATAGAGAAGTGCATGGGAGGTACAGACAACAAAGATGAACTCTTCTGCACATATAGTACTGCATTGTCAGTGAAAGCAAACATTGATCTATGGTTGGATAGATGGGTGAATAGGTTGAACTATTAATTGGTATGTCTATGAAGTGGGGAGTGTGCCCATGACCATATATGACCATATATAGGGTTGTCAGACAATGTTTCTACAAGTGTATTTGCATGTTCTGTAAGAATTCCCAGGTATATAGTAGAGCTGACAAGGGACAAGCCACAGACAGCTACCTAGAGGGAGCAAGTAGTTGGACACATGGGCTCAGGGCTGTAGTTGCAAACTGTAGTTGCAATTGGCAAAACATACTACACAAAAATATTGTTCCACATCCTACTTTGGCAAGCAGTGACTGGTATCATAAAAGCTTGCAAGCAGCCATCTAGATGTAATGATGGGTGTCTCCTCATCCAGAACAAAGAAGAATGAAGAAAACCAAAGATGCATGGAAATAATTAGACCAAGCGACTGGTATACCACGTGATTCTCAGTCTATACAACTATTAAGACCAGAAGAACTGGATGGTGCCTGGCTACCACTGTCAACCACTCAGAGGGGGATCTATGCAGAAGATCATGGATAGAGTGGGAGAACAATGTGGAACAAAATTCAAAATCACTGGGAAAAAAAAAAGGATCAAGTTTGCTGGTCTGATAGAGCCTGATGGAACCACTGAGACTATGGCCCCTAGCTGTCCTTCAGGTCTGGAATTGAACTCACTCCCATGAGCTTCCAACCAAAGAAAAGACAGGCATATCAGCTGAACATTTACATTAGGTAGACACTTCTTGGACAGATCAATCATGAGAAAATAGAAGGGCTGTGCATGCACAGGGAGATGGCTCAGAGGGCAGGAGTGAATAAGAAGGAAGGACAAGGGGAAGAGGTAACTATGGGGAGGAAGGGGGAGGGAAACTGCTGAATTGTGGGAAATTGCAGTCAATGTCTTGAGATAAAGTATATGTGAGCTGCTGTATGGAAAGTGAATTTGCTCTGTAAACTTTCACCCAAATCACAGTAAAAATTAAAAAAAAAAAAAAATCAGTTCAATTTTAGATTGTTTGGGGCAGTACACACCAATACAACTCTCAGGAACCAGACCTAAAGTAGTTGCTAATTTCCTGCTTCTGACATGAAAGAAGGTGTTCTAGGCCAAACAGAGTCCAGAAACATCATAAAGTTTCCTACAGGATTGGCGGAAAAGCTAGCAGGATTTGTAGTGTTTTTGCATGACATTTACAAGTTCTTAAGGATGTAATTTTCCCTGGAGTAAAGAAGCTCCCTGTTTGAGAAGAAAGAATTGAAGAACTAGAACAACAGATAGGATGACTAATAAGAGAGAGAGGACCTTTGCTTTGCAAGACTTAATGTAGATAAACATAAAATGCAATGCACTGCTATTGAATCAGATCCAACTCATAGAGACCCCTCCTTGGGTTTCTGAGAAGGTATCACTACGGAAGTAGATTGCCCGACCATCCTTCCAAGGAGTGGCTGGTGGGTTTCAACCACCTGCCTTCTGGTTAGCAGTAAAATGCCTTAGGCACTACACAACCAGAGCTCCTTTAATGTGAATAGTACAGGAGTTATTACTAAAGTGCTGAGGGGACTCAGGACACATTGGGCAAGTGTCCCAGTTTGAAGATGGCAACTTCTAGCTCCTGTTATTCCAATGTAGATTATTCCTTTTCTAGTGTACATTGGGGTGATGACTGCACAATTTGAACTTGTTAAGATTTATATGTATAAATTTATTAGAATGTGTCAAACTGTACACTTAAAATTGGGGGATTTTGTGGCATGTAAATTTTACCCAAAAAAAAGTTGTTAAAATATTTCTATCAGAAATGGTTACCATACATAATCTTGGTGATGCAAAGTGATAGGCTTATCTACCTGGATAATTCCTATAGTAAGTTTTTTTCCTCAGTAACAATCACTAGCATATGATGCTGGAAAAAAGGGCTTTTCATGGTTTTGAGGATTTTTAAGAGGATACATTCAGAAATCTCTCAATAAGACATAACTGGTGGATTTACCTCATTAAGGATGTCTGAAGCTCGCTTGACCTTTTCCATTTCTAAGGATCCATATGGAACCCAGCCACAACCTTTCATCCAGCTGTTGTAGTCAGCTTTGTATTCAACCTAAAACACCAAGAGAAAGATTATATTTCTTTGCTCCTTATTAAGTAAAATCAATAACATTTTACCCAAAATGGTGTTTTTAAAGATTTCTGATCAGATTCATTACTCCATACATGATTTTAAACATTTCCTTGGTGAGAGATTTTTACAGCACTTAGGTTTTTGCTTCTCTTGTAATTGGCATATATTCCATTCCATCCTATTGCCAACTGAATGGAAGCATGTGGAATTCTAATTCCAATCTGGAAAATGCTAAATTCAAAGCTGTATTTAGAAGAGTAAATGAAATTGTTATATTTAGATAATCAAATGTGACATATTTGCTCACTGAAACTTTAAATATTATGCTTCTATGGTCAAATTAGGACTGAAGGCCATATTGTAGGTGCATAATTTTGACCATTTTCTGACTACACAAGACTTGAGAACAGTTATATGTGACAAGTGCTTGTACACACTGACCTCATGTGCAATGACTAGCTTAGTAGTGCTTCTACACTGGTAATGATATACTTGAAAGTTGCAATGGTGAATTTGTTTATTGGGGAGCAATTACTATCTGTAATTGGTTCTATTTTGGGGACATTTACATAATGCAACTAAAATAATGAGCAACTCTTGCTGTCTGGCCATAGGTAGTTGTACTCTAGATTGTTGTTCTTTAGTATGGGCCTTTTAGTGGAGAATCAATGATAGAACAGAATTGACAAAAAATCATGAAAGTATTTGCTTCCAGCCCATGAGATACTTACAATCTATTTAGGAAGAAGAAACATAATAAAATTAAACAAATAACAAATTAAACTATTGTGTAAAATAGAATCGTATTGTGTAAAATAGAATTGTTAGCACAAAGTATCTAATTGTATAGCAAAGATACTTAATTGGTTGCAGAAAGAAAAACAAATATTACAAAAGTTGTAGCTGTAAATGATGTAAGAATTCTATTTCCAGAAAATCTAGCAATTTATGTAAAATTACTGAAAATGATGAAAGTGAATATTATAAAAATGGTGATGGTAATACTGAATGATTACTGAGAACTCACTAGGGCCTGGCACCACACTAAGTACTTCACATGCATTTGCTCTTCAAAGTAATACCTTTAGTTTATTTCAGTTTTACAAGAGATGAGTCTGAAACTCAGGAATGTGAATACCTTTCCTAAAGGAAAACAGTGATGGAATGCACACCATACCCCAGTCTCTCAAACACTGAAGAATGTGTTCTTATGGAAATACAAGGGAAAAAGTTTCCCATTATATATTTGCTATATAGAGAGGATAAAGTCAACCAGCCTATGCAGATACCTTTGAGAAGTGCCAAAAATAACTTGATTTAGAAATCATTTTCAATCTTTAAAGGAAAGAATGGAGAAAACCTTTTTACTTACATCGCTCTGTAGTGCATAAGCCTTTTTGGCAAGCTCCACGTTGATGCTATCTGGTGGGTAGCTGTAATTGTGTAAGAGATGCTTATAATCCACATCACTGGCAATTTCCTGAGATTTCTTTGCTTGAGTGACTTGGACCATATCAAGAGGTGCTGTGTAGACTGTTTTTGACTTTTCATAATCTTTTCGATACTCACGCTGTGAATAGGAAATTACTATTTATTACCACATATCCTTAGTAATTTCAAGAAAAGTTCAGAGATCTCTGTTCAACAATAAATACAAGATGGAGAAACAGATCCAGATATCAGAGTAGTTATTTTGTCCTAAAAGTTGTTCATATGTTACACATTGCTGAAACCTCTCAGAAAAAAGTACACAGATAGATCTTTGCAAATGTCTTTTAGATCAAAGAGTAACTGTCAGAAAGTCACAGCACACACCATGAATGGGCCAGGGCTTCTGCTTCAGGAATTATTTTTTTTCTTAAACAGCGTTTTTCAAGGACCACTAACAGACATTATTTGTACTACTGTAATCTGAACTTTGGAGTTCTTAATAAAGAAGCATTTAAAAAAATGAATCAAAATTGCATGACAATCATTCCCTACTTCTGATGTTATAAAATCAGTATTTCATTTGTAGACAACCTTTTGCTTTCCTACAGTCCTTTTTAAGTGGATAGTTCTGCTTTTTTAACATGCATAGTGGCTAAGACACTTGCCTGCTCACCAGAAGGCTGGCGGTTCAAACCCACCAGCCACTCCTTGGAAGGAAGGTTGGGCAATCCTACTTCCGTAGTGATACTGCCTCGGAAACCCAAGGAGGGGTCGCTATGAGTCAGGGCTGACTCGACGGCACATAACAATAACACTTTTGACAGTAGATCCATCCCACTGAGAATCCCCAAGGTTTTTTTGTTACCAAGTTTAATTTTGGTAACAATTTAAAAGAAGCTTCAGATTGCAGCAGTTATTAAGATCTCAAAGGAGAAAAGTTTGTGAAATGGAAACATTAAAGTAACCTTTGTCCTTATGTACAGTGTTCTCATAAACCAAATGTCTTTCTGAGTCTCAGGCGGCACTTTCATTGGCTGGTTTTCTGGACTAGTTAGAAAAGGTGCTAATTAGATCAAAGTCCCAGCTTCATCATTATTCGCCAATTACCTTAATAGACAGAAAATATTCTGATCCACTCTCTTTAGGAAATTCTAAACTCATCCTATCTCTTCACAACCATATAAGTTTTAAAGACATTGAGCCAAGCAAGGGTGTTGTTGTTGTTGTTGTTGTTTGCCGTCGAGTTGGCCCTGACTCATAGCGACCCCTCCTTGGGTTTCCGAGGCAGTATCACTACGGAAGTAGGA